ATTGTTGGGGTGAATCAAGATCAATTGGATGGGAAACTTTGGCACGTTTATGGGGATTGAAAGAAAAACGACTTCGCTTGTTGGGTGGTGCATCTTCATGTTCACCTACGCAGGCTTGTTCAAGGGATCTCAACATCCATGAGGCAACTTTTCTGGCAAACCCTGGACAGTATGATGCACAGAACTTTGTCAGGGACATGCGTTGGCCATGAATTGAAACGCTACCTTCGATCTGCTGATGTTCATGGCTCTTGTCACATCTGGCTGGCATCAGCTGTTGAATCATGAATGGATCCGTTGAGAAAACCTGACTGGACTTTCGCATAAATCGCTTGGAAAAGGGATGTTTCAAACCAAAAGTGCACATGTCGAAACTGGCTCTTTGAGTCAACTGATGAATCGGCTGAAAACAATCCAGTTGTGGCATCATGGAACCGTTTGGTTGTTCCAAGTGAAAGTGTCGGCTCCTCTTAACCTGAAATTGACACAATGCAGCACACAGTTCAACATGTTGAAGCTCTTGTTTGCGCAAACGTTGAACATGATCAAAGAGCTTAACACTTTTGTATTGGTTTAATCTAGACCATCCCCCCCAAGGACCACATTCCGGTGCAACCCAAATGTTGAGTGGTTGATGTTGATCCATGATATTCCACAGCTTTTTACGACCCTCAACAGTGGATAAATCACCGTCTGCACGGGTGAACCGAATGGCATTGAGACCTAAATTCCTGAGAGCTTCAGTCAAAGGACTGTGCTGATCTGCATAGACTTCCAGCAAAACGCACGGCTTTTGGGGAAGGCTCCACGCTGGAGGCACAAAGGTTTCTTCTAAGATCCGGCTTGCATGAAAAATGGAATCAGCCACTGCATGATTGAACAACTTTGGAGGCGCACTTTGATTCAAAAACAGGCGAGTCTTCGCAACATCATCATGAAAGGCTGAGTTCACCACAGGATCTCTTGTGACGGATCTTAGTGGGAGCGCTGATCGAGATCCATCTGCACTTGGCAAAACTTCACGAAATCTTGAACTTCGGGCGTGAGGTTGGCAAAACGAGCCACCGCCCATTGATAGTAAGATGGATCCTGACGCCACACCTGCATGTAGGTGCGCCCTTTGTGCTTTTTCCCCCAGGTTACGCGGCACTGACCCCAATCCGACACGGTCATCTGAGTGCTGGCCCTTGGAATCATGATACCCAAGGGAGTCGTGGAACCCAGCTGGCTCGGCTGATTCAACTCGATCTGGCGGCCCTCGAGGTCGAGAATCACCTCTGCCTCGGACTCCTCGATCATCTGCCAATTTGACACCCGGCTCGTCATTGCAGCTGTCGGCAAAGTTGCCGTTGGCGGTTCCTGCAGAACCTGAGCAACTCTCAGTGAGGCCATCGGCAGTGGAGCAACTTCTGGAGGTGTCTTTGGAGCTCGTGACGGAGACTGTCGGGGTGCCAGTTGTTGCGGAGAGCTTTCTCCGGTGATTGAATCTCCAGTTGAACCTTGGGCCCTCCGTGATGGGGCGTTCTGGGCGGAAGTCATGAGACTTTGCAGCATCGTTCGTTGATTCTGCAGCTCGAGGACCATTCCCTCCATGGCTTGCAGCACTTCTGGGGAATTTTCCGGGCCCTCTGGTACAGTTTCTAACTGGCTGATCAGAAACTGGAGCAACATCGTCAACAGGCTGATCACCGCCTCGGCCACAGTCTTCAGCGACGTCATCATCTGGGCTGGAGGCGGCATGTTGAGAGTCACTGGACGATAGGCACGGCGATCGGGAGCTGCTGTCTCTTGAGGCTGGTTTGGCCATTGTGAGGGAGATATTTTCAACTGTACATTCAGGATCATGCGGCCCATGTGGACAATCAACACCCTTCGATTGAACACTGACATGATTTGTGACAAAACTGGATTTGAAAAAACTCTTCGGAGGGTGAGAACACAGTTGAATCACATCCAACAAATACAACTCTGTAGGGTTCAGCTCAAGGTTGATCTTGCGGTCAAGGCGTTGCAGAAAGCATGAATCATTTGTTGTATCCAAAATTCCTCCAAGTTGTTTGAAAGCTCTTTTACTAAACAAAAATGGGGTACTGCCTGGTAAAACTTCAATGGTCAACCATAAGCGACGATTCGAGTGAGGAGCGCTCTGCAGCGGAAGTTGCACTTGAAATTCACTCTGCAAAGTCTGATTGTTGCCAAATCTGAATTTTACCTGACTGGGTGCTTTACGAACTTTCTGCTGCAGACTGCTTGGAAGTTTCTGGAAAAGCTGCTTCCAAATCTTTTCGCCAATCACACATTTGCTGGCTCCGGTATCTAAAATTGCGTGACACTGTCGGTCACCTGTTGATGCCAAATGACAGACATCAGGCAAAGGCAAGGCAGCTTCATAGGGTTTGCAATCCATCTCAAAAGGTTCAGGCCGGAGGCTCTTCTTCACTGCAACTGCATACCTGGGCATTGGAAACGCACGTGAAGACAGCTTGGCTTTCATCTGACAAACCCCTTTCATCTTGAGACCTAGTTGACTCTTATGGGAGTTATTCAACAAGGCTTGCACAACAAAGGCTTCTGCAAAATCCGGAACATCTTGGCTGAGACCTATGCTAAAAACAGGCAGGACACCGGGGGACACATCATCGACATCGGATGGGGCAGACTCAGGCTCGGAGTGAACTTCATGGACCATGGAAGGTTGGGACGGCTCAACAATGTTGGCCACAGCGGTACCACCATCAGGATTTTTGTCCCTGTTGGGGCATTCCGCTTTCCAATGGCCTCTTTGATTGCACAGGCGGCAGTTCGACTTGGCAATGCGAGCCAAAAGTTGGTCTCGCTGCCGTTTTCCTTTGCCGCGACCTTTTCCTTTTCCAAAGCCACGGTTGTCTTTTCCCCCGGGCTTGATCGGCCAGAAGCCACGGCTGCGACGTTTCTCAAGCAATTTGGAACGAGCTTCGAGATACGTCACCATTGCATCATGCATGTCAGGAACCTCCTGAAGAAAATCCTCAAGTTCCTGCTCAAAGGAGCTGACAAGCAAGGCGTCTTGATCTTCGGCAGCTAACATGACCTCCATGAACTCGGCATCAAGCTCGGGCTCCACATCCTCTGTCAAAACTGAAAATGCCCGTTCTGTGGAATGCTCATCCGACTGACGACCAAAATCCCCTTCAGTTTGTTCAGACAGGTTCACATCATACACCTTTGTTTTGGCACTATGACGACTTCCCTGCAGTTCCGAAAAGAACTTACTACCAAGCAAACGGAAGGACTTGACCACCGGCTCATACTTTAACTCACCAGGGTGCTCAAGGAGAATCTTTTTCTTGTCATCAGGAGCAAGGAGCGATTGCCTCAGAAGCACATAGGCCTGAACCTCTTCCAGCTTCGTGCCCCTGCTCAGGAGTTCCACAAAATTGGATTCCATGCGACTCAGGTAGGAATCATGAGACTCATCATTTCGTTGAATGGTGCCATACAAGGCCTTCTCAAAAAACTCGTATCTCTCTTCCAGTTCAGTAGCACCCCAAGATCCTCCGATAGCTTCAACCAGCAATTGGATCCCTGATTGATTATTCACACGAAGTTTCTCGGGACTCAAACGGGCCACTTTGCGAAAGGCTGTCCCTTCGACCAGGAGAGCTGCACGAGGAGCTAACAAGCTGAGGTATTCTTCAGGCCACATGGCCGACAAAAACTTCAATTTCTGTACATATTCTTGCACATTCGTGGACCCAGGCACAAATTTCGGTATGCTGGACCACGGCAGTTGAGGCGAAGATCCCAAAGTGGGCTCATCAGTTGGCACTGGCGTCTCAATTGCAGCTTGGGTGGATGGAGGCATGGCCATGCAAAGCTTACCCCCTGGATCACACTCTTTCGGCTACAGCGAGGAAGGAAAAATTCCAAAGCCAGAAAAGTCAAAACTGAAAGTAGCCGGAGCACCAGGTAGCTCCGCTACCAGTGTGAAAGGGATTTCTCCCCTTCCCACTGGTAGCCCAAGATCTCAGCAATCCCTGATTGTCAGAAATGAAAGTGGTCCCACCACTAAAATGATGTAAAAAGATCCCTGTCTTCTCCAAATGAAATCCGCAGCCGCACAGCGAGATTTTCCTCCCAAGGAAATGGCTCAAGCAACGGTATGGTGTCCAACACCAAGAAACCACGGCCCACCCTCCACTGGCACTTGTGCCATATGGGCCATCGGAACATGCTGGTGGTGTGCAAGGTTAACATGCAGTCACATCAAGGCAAACATCAGGGTGGACAAGTTACATACAAATCACAATATAGAGATATAGATATAGATATAGATATAGATAAGAAATACATAAATAGAGAAATAAAGGTCAATAGATAAGACAAGATAAGATAAGATCATATTGGATACTATAGGAAACGCTAAAATAACATTAGATTAGATTCGATAGATAGATAGATCGGTGGATGGATAGATAGCTAGATAGATAGCTAGATAGATAGATAGATTTGATAGATGCATAGATAGATAGACAAACACAAATGTAGATAAAACAAAAAACATATAGATAGATGGACAAACAAACAAACAATCAAACAAACAAACAAACATACAAACAAACACATAGATAGAACAATAGACAAATAGAATGAGAGAGCAACACATTCACACATACATACTTATATACAGTATATATATACACATAAATGCACAGAATACTCAAATACATTCAGACGGATCGCTAGCATTTGTGCATCATCATCATCATCATCATCGAATCATCAAATCATCGAATCATCGAATCATCGAATCATCATCCTCATCACCACCATCATCATCACCATCATCACCATCACCATCACCATCAGCATCAGCATCAGCATCATCACCATCATCATCACCATCATCACCATCACCATCATCACCATCATCATGATCCCAACCATGTTGATTATATGTTCCCTGTGTTTCCCGTCCAACTTGTGGTCATCGCTTCCCAGAATCCTCACGAAACAGGAACCTCTCGATCCAGCTCCCGAAAGCTGTGCTTCTTCTCGTCATCCTTGCGGCTGTAAAACCTCGGGTCAAGCCATGTCAGGCTGTTTTGGGGCACCAAAACATGGGATGACACCAGTCATTGGGAACGCCCAACCTAGGACCTAGGACATCTCTAAGAGGACTCTGATTGGAAACGCGTTTGATCATTTTTGCGTTTTTGTTGCGGAAATTGTCCCCGCAAAAAACTGGCTGGTCCCCTTGTCTTAATCCAAGATGTTTCCACGGCCATGTTGATGGGTTTCTCAGATCCATGAGTCTTTCTTCACCAAATTGAATGGGACAAGGACATGTCCGGGCTCCTACGGTCCCTACGGGTCCCATGTTGAATGAGGCACCGACCACCACAATCGAACCTTAGGACATGATTTGGTATGATGACATGATTCAAGGAGGATGAAGTGCCACAGACAGTCATATCTTATTATTATCATCATATATTTATCCTACTGACAAATATTGATGTCAATCCCGGATTAATAAACCCTGGTTGACCAGTTAGGGGGTCCCTCGCAAGATAATGACAAGTAAAATTGCTGCTTCAGTGGTACCCCCCCCAAGTAAACAGCCTACAGTAGGGGTTTATTGATCTGGGGTTGACGCCGTGTTTTATGAGATTAAGTATGATATCATAGCTCTAGCCCTCTGAAATCAATGAAAATAAGTCGTGATGGATGGTCATATTTTGTAGACCACCAGTCCACCAACTACGAGATGACGGTTCAAGAGTAAGGTGTAAAACTATCCTTTGAACAATCACAGCTTTGTCGTCGGATTTGCTACTCCAAGTGCCTCTGTAAAGGAACGGCGAGCGAGGTTTATTCATAAACGATAATTATATAGCTAAATATATATAACTAAACAAAAACAGCATCCCCAAAATATGACCTTTCCAATGGCAATCCTAAAAGAACTCAGATATGCCTCTCAAATCTCTCAATCGGTGAATTCTACTGGTCAATATTCCAGGACAGTCATCAATTGGTGGTTTTTCTTGTTGTGGTTGGTATCCAATTGTGAGTTAGGACTCTGTGGTGATATCTCATGATCGGATCATGAGTGGCAATTCTTTCGACCACCAGAGATATTATCCCATGATTCCCCTGCTTCATGTTCGGAAAAAAACATTGTTCCCGTGTTTCGAAACCACACCCCACACACATTTAATGCTTCTTATGGATGACCAGTAGAAAAACTCTCAGCGCAGAACTCGGGCACTGGTGGTCTCCTTTAGACCACAGTGCTCAAGCAATAACCTCCAGCGCAAATCAAAAGGGAAAACTGATCCTCTGTAAAAGTAGCCAAAATGAGGAAACGCAATGACTGCACATCAATGTTTTGCTTCTTTGGAGGGCTTGAGCGCTCAGTCGGAATCACAAACCTATGACACCAAGAAACAAATTGAATTTCTTTTACATGTGTAGTGCGGCATGGCATAGTCATCAATTTGGACCACTTTTGAGTCTTCAAAGTGCCTAATCCATGAATACTCACAACAATCATACATATGTAATATATATAAATACATATATAATATGCAATGTAATTGTATACATATATTTATATGTATAATATTAAAAAAGTATATATCTGTATTCCTGTCAGCAAAACGACGAAGCATGTTTTGACACACATATAGTAAAAACAACACCGTATCAATATTGGCAATTGCGACCCGCCCCCAAAATACAGCAAACTCTGAAATCGTCCTAGACTGAAACCACCAAAACCAATCTGGACTCGTGCCAACATCGTCAGCTATTTATTGCTGGATAGTTCCTCACTTTTTTTGCCTGAAAAAAAACAGATGGAACACCAACATAACCATTTCCACGTGAACTGAATTTCATGTTCTAAACAAACTTTCTTGGATCAATTTTTGAGGCTCCAAAAAGGGTGTTTCCAGTCTACCCAGCCATTTGGGTATCAAAAGTTAAGGCATTTTCAGGGACCACAACGAAAGGCAGCTATCATTTTTTGCACTACCGCACTACCCATGCAATTTGTATTCACAGGGGCCTCCAACAAGATGTAGAAAAACACATTCCAAGATGGTATTGATAATATTGAAGTCACAACTGCAAGGTTTCCAACGTTATCTCTTTTGGTGTTTCTATGGCGTTTCATCCTCATCCCCTGTTACTCCCGTGGCCACCTCCGCCAAGGCGTCTCAGTGCGTGCGGCACGCAGGATGGACCTCTTGAATGACATGGATTTGAGGATCAGACAAGAACAAATAAATGGGACAAATAAACCATCAATAGGAAAATCATGGAAAATCATCAGGCCCCAAAAAAATGAGGTGTCCTTCTTGAATTTAGTGGGTGTACCTGTGCACATGACCGTTCACAAACACAAAGCTGAAGCAGATTTCCTTTCTTTATGACCATTTTCTGCCATGGACTATGAACCAGTAAACAAACAAAGCTATGGAAGCCATGGTCTGTAGATGATTTACCTATCAAGCATATAACATACATATAGTCTATAGTTTATATATATATATATTATACATATATATAGTATATGTAGATATAGATTTTCCAGTTCACAAAGGATTACCAGTATTCGCCTGAAGACACCACCGGAGCCATCGGTGCTCCAGCCGGTCGGAATCAAATGCCCCAAGCCATTGGAGTAGTGATGGATGTTGCCTGGCAACAGCACAAGTGAACATCATCAAACCACGCGAAAAGCAACCTGTGAAAAAAACACATAGTCACATAGTATCATAATATATCTTTTAATGTTATATATATATATGTATATATTATGTAACATTATGTAACTATTCTATATATATATATATGATGTAACTATATATATATCATATATATTGTCATATAGGTATTATTATATATATATAATATATTATGCAACTATTTAATATACTTGGTATAATATGAAGTAATACTTGATTCAGTGTATAACACAATGTAATCTCATATACCGATATACCTAATATACATGTAAACTCTATATATATATATAGTGAAATAGATACATATGAGATATTGAGATATAATTTAATTAGGTGTGCATATTTATGTATTATATATTCAAGTATAGCAATCCTAAAAGGGTAATAATGCCAAGGATCATCTATGTTCACGGTTCCTGTGTTTTCACCCAATACATTTGTCAACTGGGGTTCTCGTCCCATGCTCGAACATGGAAAAATGACATCACCAACCAACAGTTGTGGTTTTTCACAGCAATCAAACCCACATCATAAACCATCATCATCACCATTAATCAATATTTCCAATATTAATCACCATGGGGAAAAAAAATTAAACAACAACATATTCGAGGGACCACAGCACCAAAAAATAACTTTTCACCACCAGCGACCAATTTTTTCGACCAACGCTCCAGATCCGCGCTGCCAGGCTTGACCTGAGCCCATGGAATCAGGATGAGATTGTGATGTAACACTAACCACTGAGAGACAACAGTTGGCATCACGATACGCCAAAAATCAACCAAAAGCAACTAACAAAAAGCAAGATCCAGGAAAACCCAATATACCCAATCTTCGAAGCGCTTGTTTTGACGCCACAGGGCATCAGTCGCGCTAGGGTTTTGTGCGTTGCACGGGTCCCGTGGCTGTGCGGGATCACATTGTCACGGCTGCCGTCGATGCACTCGACGCAGTCGATGCAGTCGGGGTGGAAGTGCTGGGCACGTCGTCTACTGTCATAGGCTGCGGCTCAGAACAGCTGTCACGAAACTGACAGGAGTTGCAGAACTCATTTTTAAAGTTCCTTGGTTGGAGCAATGAGAAAGAAAGGTGGCTGCAAATTCGGAGCGTGGCTCTGCACACTTGTCTGGCTGCAACATCACAAAACATGAAGTTTGCCGGGTCTGATGGATGAAACCATGAAACTTGATTGTATAATTCTTGAGGATTCACTCATATTTGTGTCAGCCTGCATAGTGCTCAAACATGTTCAAACAATATGGGTGACAGGACAACAACGTAAAACTTGAGGATGTAAAACTTGAGCGTAACACGATCACTACAACCACACGGAAAATAGGGTATCGGTATGAGCCGGTAGGGGTTGAGTCATAGGGGGTTTCAAAAACGAAAGAAAGAGACAGAAAAATACGGATAGAGACGAGACAGAAAAAGAAGAAACCGACAAACAAATAACTCGATATTCATGTAAAACCATATGGCAGTGTGTCAAAACCTTGTACCCCTTCTGTTCACATCAAAATAGCTGGTAAATGGATGTTCATCCCACTAAAAATGGCATTAATAGGTATTGATCCATAGCCATATAAACATGTGAACATCAACTTTGTTGGTTTGGTCCCCCAGGTTGATGATACTTTTCCCGTCTTTTTAACCATGTGATCACAGGTCAGTGGACATCTCATGGCCAAGATACATCCCATCTCCAATCTGACATTTCTCGCCATGCCAAAGGGGAAGCTGCTCACGGGCATCTCGTTGCAAACCTCTCATGGCTTGGTCATGTCATGTCACTTGACATATCTTGACATATCTTGACATGTTTCTCTTGTTGATTTGGGGATGAGTCAAAATAACAATAATAATAGCTGTGGGTAATAATATTAGTATATATTAGTACCATTGGGCTTTCAACCGTTCAAACAATAGATTCAATGGATATATGTTTCATTTATCTATTGAAGATCGTCAGCCCTGAATCGTCGCACTGATTTTGATAATCCCGCCATCCCAAAAGAGTGGCCACCATCCCAAACTGCTACCGCCAGCGAGGCCGATATCATGATATACCCATTTCTTAGATATATTTCCTCCATGTGTTCTTAAAGCTGGTTGGGCTAATCAATCCCCATTGACATGTGACACAAGCTACTCAAAAAATCTCAAAAATAGATAAATCAACCACCTCCGCAATTCCTTCCACTCCATTCATGTGGATTGTAGTATTTCACCAAACCTGAAAGCCTGAAATATTGGCTTTTCTTGGGATAATGTCCTTTATTAACCATCAAAAAGTGAGGTCGCGCCGTGAATTTGCGCATCCAAGGGGCGCTTCAGATGGAGAAAGGCCGTCGTGCCTTCCCCAGGCATTGACATCAAATTCAGCGAGCCACCCAAATACTGTGCATAGAGGCGACTCAAGGGCAGGCCCACACCATAGCCTGAAGGAATATGGCTGGAATGGTCACTGTGGATCATCGGAATCATGGATCAGGAAAATAAGGACCACGGGGCCCGGGGAATTGAATGGAATTTATTGGATTTCTTTTGGAGTTTGTTTCTCATTTAGATAAAAAAAAATGGTTGATGGATGTTGATGGGGTGGTTCCATGCATCGAATCAATTGAACATGGAATCCAAGCTATTGGCGGTGGCGACCGGCGACATCAGCGTCGGGTCCCAAGCAGCGAGTTTCATTCTCAACCCGTGATGATGACCATCCATGCTACTGGTTTATCTACTCTCTTGTAATTTAACATAACTATGGAAAATCACCATTTTTAATGGGAAAATCCACTATAAATGGCCATTTTCAATAGCTATGTTAAATTACCAGAGGGTACCTGCATGGCTGATATGCAGGGCACTAAGTTTAGCGGCTAGCGTGAGCTGAAGATTGACTCATTCTGAAACTACTGAACACATCCTGCAAACACTAAGACCCATACATATACAAACGTAATTCATCATACTGTAGCTTGCACACCTATATATAAAAATATGTACACCTCACCCATCCCACTCAAAATCAAATTGCATTGCTTACCATTATCCATTGCACTGCGCAAATCGCATGACAAGGTGAATTCAACGTGGCCTTACTTGCAATACCAGCAGCAGGACATGTCTTGCGCTGCCAATCAACATCCCAGCTGGTTAGATTAGGATCATCAGCCCAAATAAGCTGAAACCACACTTGAGGTAATTATTTGTGGCACAACAAATCAATCACTTGCAACTTGCAACAAGCCAACTTTCAGTTGAAAAATCCTGAAAGCCCAAGGTGCCAGCAAGAGGAGTACCTTGATGTTCCCACACATCTGATCTGGTGTCCTCAGTTGTGGGGCAATGTTGTCCCGACCTCTTTGGGATCTGCAAGTTATTGGGTAGCCCAACGTTGACGGATTTTTAGTGCAACAGCGTATGCTTAAATTCACCACGTTTTATGGGTACCAATTCTTTTTCATCGACAGATTGGTGCTATAGCAAGCCAGAAAACGATAGAAAAGATCGGACAAGCACAAAATCCTAAAAGATCGTCGCAAACTACTTAGGAGTCGCCGGGAACTTAGGCACTTATAACTTCATTATAAGTCTTTCTATAAGTGGGTTAAGTGATTAGTAAGTTGATTATAAGTGGCTAACTGGGCTGTAAGTGATGTTGAGTTAGGCGGCACATACTATTGACTTAGGTGACTTATAAGTATGTTGTATGCTAAGTGGATAGGACTTAGCTGGAACTTAGCTGGCACTTAGCTTTGATTTCAAAACGTATGATTTTGCAACTTTTTGGTGGCTTCAGGCTAGATGAGTGTACATTTTGCAGCTATTTGCAGTTCAAACATGTCGGCTGAAAAGCAGCTGGACGCTGCACAGAAATTCCTACGTGGAATTACATCCCTGGCTTCCTACGCGGAAGTCAGGGAGAAGCAGGCGCTTGGAGTGCAGCGTTCGCTTGAAAAGATTGCTGCTTTTAGTGTTGCTCAGGCGGCAATATGGCTAGCAGCTTTGCAGGAAGAATTGTGGTCCGATGCCCAAGTGGCAACCTTTCGTGAGATCGTGGCATTCAAGGCAAGGCCTGTGGAGGCAGACAACAGCAAAGCGTCGACGCAAGATTTTACCTTGCTTCCGTTTTATCTAACAGATGAGCTGGGGCAGGACATTGGCAATCCATCTGTGGATTCCGATCGGTTGTTGTATAGGCTGTGCCAGCATGCTGCGAAGATGTCACTACGTAATGCATCGGAAGCAACGAAAGCAACTTTGGTGGTCATGTCGAAATGGATCACCTGCACCCGCGGTCTGACACCAAAGGAGCAGTATGAGTTATATTGTCGTCAGAAGCCGTTGGTGACGAAGTACTTGGTTGGCGTCTCCTGCGGCAAGTATCTTGTCGATTTGCCGTTGGATTCGCAGGACTTGGACGAAGGCATTCGGACGCGCGTGTTTCCTACGGGGAAGCCACAGCAGTGTGCCATGGCACAGGACATTCGTGACTATGTATGTCATATGCCTTTGCGGAAGGATAATCGTCTTTTGGTGGCTGACACCCAAGCGGTGTCAGCTAGCAGGGTTTCTGGCGGAGGCGGGATGGCTGTGGAAGATGTTTGTAAAGTTTTGGAAGCATGCAGTAAAACGTTGCAACCGCACCATCAGACGATGCAATCGTACCAAGCCAATTCTTCGAACGCAAATGCAACCAGTGGAGAAAGCCAGACATCTCTCTTGGCGATTTGCGATCGCCCAAGGGCGGAGGAGGAGGCAGTGACGCTTCCTAAGCAGGAAGATCATTCACAGCCTAAACCGCTAACCATGACCGTGGAAGATCAGTTAGCCGCATTGCGACAGGATTTGCCTTCTTCACAGCGGGACTCAAGCGGCCTGCAGCATCTTTGCCAAGTGCAAAGGTGCCGAAGGCGAAGGGAAGGCCACGCAAGGATTGCTCCGGTCCTGTTCCGAGCAAGCAAGGAGCTGTGAAAAAGGTTTTGAAGAGACCAGCGGCTGCAAAGGCAGCTGCAGTTGGTCTTGACCCAGCAACCTCACGGGGAGCAGGGTCACGAAAGAGTGGCGTTCCTTCGACCAGGGGCACGGGTGGTCCTGCTCTGTCACGCGCAGAGCGGCGAGAGCGGGTGATGGCGCTTGTGCCACGAGCCAAGCGGCAAGAGTACAAGGGTGGCTGTGGCAAATGCAGATTCACCGCGGGATGTACTCCATCTTGCTGGCGTGAGCGTGGCTTTCAGGTTTGAACACTGAGAGAGGATGTGATACCGTTACTTTTTTGATGTCTTGAATAGGACATTAATTCGGTCTTAAGATCTTGATACAGGTCGGGCAAAACAAAGGAACCGCAGGGTCGGAAGTGAAGGGTGGGAGCATGTGTTTCTCTCCAGTGAGTTGTGTGTTGCGACCTGTTTTTTTTTTAATGGGCATGGGTTGTTGCCTCATGAGCCTTGGTGAACTGCAGGGTGTTTGGCTCGAGTGTGTTTGGGTCGCGTGTGGGCCGGCTCGAAGGGGAGCCGCTGGACCAGGCAGGAAAAAGTTGCTGGGTGTTCTGCTGAGTTGCAAGCTTACATTTGGATGCTATACTCTTGCTCGCAGGACCTCATGGCGCCGAAGAAGGACGGCAAGGAAGAGGAAGACGACTCGGATGAGTACACGTACTGTACCGAGGAGGACGAGGAAGAGCCGGATCCGATGCCGTCCACGGAGGCAGTGGCCGCGCCGGTTTCCCCGAATGAAAAGGCCGCGGTTGCAGCTGTGCGCATCTACGAGGCGCGGGCAGCGAAGGACGAGCCGTCTAGCAGTGACGACCGTGGGCCACGTGCTCGTGATCGTCGCCCCCCAAGCCCGGCGCGCCGTGAGCGGCGAGAAAGGCACGAGGAGCCGCGCGGGTCGCGTGTGCCGGAGCGGGAGACGCGTGACACTCGAGAGGTGGCGCCTTTTCCATCCTTGCCAACTCCTGCGCCAGGTTTGCCACCGCCACCTCCTCCGAATTCCCCACGGGGGAATTGGACGACCAAGGGTCGTAAGCAGCGGTGTCCGCATTGCTGGCAAAAGGTGGGCTCGGGAGGTTCCACTTCGGGCATGTCCCAACATATGTACTGGAATGAGCATTGCCTGACGTGGCAATGTTACGGAGATGGGACGCGTTGCTCCTGGGAGGAAGCGGTTGCCCGAGCCCATGAGGTGAAGCTTGGCAGAGAGCGAGAGGAATATGCTGAGCTGGCTGAGGGGGTCACGCCAGCTCGCTCGCGCCAGCAGCGCCGCGCCAAGGAGGAAGGAAAGGAAAAGGCAGGTTCGGGGCAGGAGGGTCTTCCACGTGAAGGCAAGGCGAAGCGACGGGAGCATCGAGATGCCGTTGCGGATGATCCACGCGATCATATGGAGCAGGCTGAGAATGTGCGACGACGCCGTGCAGAAGTTCCACCGGAACCGGAAGAGAAGGAAGAGACGTCGGGGCGTCGCCGAAAGCACAAGAAGCATCGTCATCGCCGCCGCTCCCCATCACCTGATGTTCGTGCCGGACCTAAGGGTCCCAAGAAGCCGCCGAGTGACGACGATGAAGATGATCGAGATATGGGTTCGGCTAAGCGCCGGACTGCTCCGGACGAAGTATGGATCAAAGTGCCGCGTTCTGCCTTGAGGGGACACTGACATGAGACGCGGCGCAGGACGAGAGTCGAGCAAAATGAGCGGGGTGGCAATGGGTCTTGTCCGATCTGTGCGTTTGTCCCGATCATGTTGCATAACCTTTTCTCGCTCGGTTGACATGTCTCCTTTGCACATCCCGTCTGGCAGTGCTACTTTTGGTTCAAGCTGATTGGCTTTCCTTCGTAGCCGTTTTCCCTCAGTCAGGTTCGAAGGGTCACATCTAAATTTATATCGTTTCATTCCATTGATATACAACAAAATGCTGCCCAACAGCCGGAGACATTCGAGTTGATTTTCTGAAGCCTTGAATGTTATATGGCCCAAAGTATTGCACAAGCAACTCAGAAGTCATAATATGTTTTCGATGTGCCGTTTGTCACGGTTGCGCCGTAGCTATGGCATCTCGAAACGACAGCAAGAGCGCGTATGTCGCGCCTTGTTGTAGCTTGCATCCGTTCGTCTTCTCCATGTGAGGGGGCGCGTGGAGCAACGTGAGCGGAGGATGGCGAGAAGGTGACATACGATGTCCGGTTATAGCAGGCGTGGCAGACATGGCGGTATGTCCGTCCTGTCTATGGCATGTCTTTTGCCACGGCAAAGGACGTGTTGATGCTTGTGTGCACCAATCAGTTTCACCGTTCGTGTCTTGTCTTAGCTGTCTCTGCATAATTAGATGTCACTATACATATATGACACGTGGAAAAAAAGATCCGATTCCTCCGCGCAGACGCGATGGCTGCAGTTCTTTTCCTTGGGGGTCTGTGGGACTGTGGCATGTGTTGTGTCTGTTGCCATGCAATAGAAAAAGTCATCGCTGCTGAATGGCTTCAGGTACTAGCAGCTTCGTGCGTATGAGCGGTCCCATGGCATCCGATATATCTTTTTCAATCTCTCCTGAAGGTTTAGGGGAACTGTTTGATGTCATGGTTGAGGCTCTTCCGCAGGAACCCTATGGGGACTTTTCTTCTACGTGGAGCAAAGTCCAACATTGTCTTGACTCTGCAGCAGAATGGGCATGCGCGCACGGACGCGCTGACCAGCGCAGAGTGCTCAAGCGTCTGAGCGTGTTGTTGAAGTATGGGGCATGGGGCGCCAGGCCTCTGGATGTGCCACCGCACCCCAAGATTGCAGGTGCGTGCTTGATTCCAGTCTCCTACGGGGAGGACAGAGATGCTTGGTCCCAGCACCTCCCTTGGAATCGAAAGTTCTTGGTGAACGATCTCCTCCGTGCCAGCAAGTGGCTGACGATCTTGGCATGGCATTTTTCGCTGCGAGCAAACCGAAGGAGAGAGTTTCACTGGTGCAGAACCTGCGCTGCGCTTCTACGGGAAGCACGGCGCTGCTTACGGGCAGCTGACCCGCAGGGATTCTAAGTGGCATTGTGCCACATGTAGTGCCAAAATCTTTGAATGTTCCGGTGTCTGCGGACGTCTGCGAACGTCTGCGGATGTCTGCGGACACAAACCAGACTGGAGGCTGTCTGCGGACTTTGTCTGCGGGTTCGCGAGAAAAGGCTTGATCTGGACTTGAAGCTGCTGTCTGCGGGTGTCTGCGGGACAAGACTCATGAGCAAATGGACATGGGGGTGTGTCTGCGGTGTCTGCGGATGTTTGACGGATGCTTAACTGGTCCTTCATCCAGTGTCTGCGGCATGTGGGACGAAACGGTTGTCTGTGTTACTTTTCTGTTCTCCGTTGTTTTCTGCCGTAGCCATTTTTCCTCAGCAGCTAGAACTTCCGCTGGGCACCCGTCCGTTCGTATCCGACCCATCGATCCTTACTACGGGGCAGAGAGGGCTCAGATCAAAACGGGTCTGGGATGGTCATGGCCCTGGAAGACTCTCAGTGAGATTTCTATAAGTCCTACGCCGGACAGAGATGAAAAACAAGCTGCAGCCATGGCTGCATGAAGATGATGGAAGCATGCACCTACGTGGTGTCTCTGGACGGCAACGTTGCCTATGTGGATAGAAACTCTATGGGAAGGTGTCGATAGGGTTGCCTTCATAGCAAGATACTGTGTTAGCGTAAAATAGGAGATGGGAATCCGGGACGGCTTGTGCAGGATCAGGTTCATAATCCTGATAATGGACAATTGTCTTAATCACACATATACATATTCAGACCTAAATAACCGTTGTGCAAAACTTCATATAGACCTTCCTGTCGTATGTAAGAGGAAAGGCATGGACCGACTATACACATACAATATGACGCAACTCGCTTTGAACTTTGAAAACACGAAGGCATCTTTTTGGCTCTGACTGTGTGATCCGAAGACCGGTTCTTCTTTCCCTGGACGTGCGCCATGGCTGAATCGCACGCGGCAGCAGCGCAGCCCCCAGCGGCAGAGATGGTGTGCAAATTATGCAACAGAAAGGTAGCTGCGAGTGATGGTCGTAAGCATGGTAATTTTTTTCGCTGTTTGCCATGCGCAAGCATCGAAAGGGCCATGCACAGAAACTTGGGCTCTGCAGCTGAGATTGGCACGTGGTCCCATGCGGAGTGCCACTCCTTTTTTCAAAAGCTTCACGAGGAAAAGACTGACAATGGAAACCTGCAATGGACCACGATTCGTGCTGTTCTGAAGCGTCGGATGACGGAACGCAAGATCAGCAGCTTCGCATCGACGACAGAAGTGACACCTCTTCCGTTGTCGGTTCTCCTGGCTCAGGGCTGGGAAGAAGAGGTCGTGAAGAAATTTGAATCCGAGAAGAGCGACACGTACGGCGTGGAGGTCTTCAAAGTGCCAATCACCAAGTTCAGCTGGCGGGACATGTTTGAGAGCGTCGAGGAAAAGCTCTTGGAACAGGAGAAAGAGGCGAGGAAACGCCGAGTCGGGAAGAAGAACAAAGAGGACGACTTGGATGTCCCGGAGGCTGCTCCTGCATGTGGAAAAGACCAAGACAAGGGAAAGGAAAAGAAGGAGTTGCAAGAGCTGCGCCAGCGTACGACGCATAACGCGAAGGTAGCGTCTAGCGCAGCCAAGGCCATGGGACCTCTGGCAACAGCGGAGACTTCCTTGAGCAAGCTGTTGGCCAAAGCCGATGGCAAAGGCTGCGTCGATACGGCCGCGGTTGCCTTGTGCAAGGAAAAATTGACAACCATCACAGCCTGGGGCCAGCAGTGTCGTGCGGCAGTGAATGCCCAAGAACGGAACAAAGGTCAGGCGGCCCAAGAGGCACAGGAACGCCTTGAAGACTTGCCGTTTGATTCATCGGATCTTCGTGCAACCTTGAAACAGATCACCGAAGGTCAGAAAGCGGTGAAGGCGTCCATGCCTAAGGCGGCAGCGGCGCCGAAAAAGCGCGCAGATGGTGGGGGCATCGCTACCGGCGATCCCGCGGGCGAGGCACCGGCACCCAAGAGGCGCCGAGCCAAAGCTGCACCGTGAAAAGCGCAGAGATGTCTAAGAGAGACGTGTCGAAACACGAATCTGTAAGAGAGATGTTGAGTGGCAGCCATGACATGGGGTAGTGTCTCGATAGCTGCTTGCTGGAAGCTGAGTTGAATTATCAACTTGCGCGGCAAAAAGGGATTGGCAGCTGTCGTTCGTCTCACACATGGTCGCATTTGGTTATCTGTTGTCTCTCTAGAAGCAACTAAACAACTGTTGGACTTCGTGGACACATGGTCACATTTTCTCTATCTCTGTCTCTGACTCGGAATTTCCTGAAACATAGCAGGGCTTACATTGTAGACTGCGCATGACAGATCGGGCACGAAACCAATGGGAAATACCGGAGACATCGAAAGAGGAAAAAAAAACCTATGGTCGCATGTAAAAAGCATGATATAACGGAGACAGTCTGTCGTCGTACTGCCGCAGCGGCTTAAGGAGGACGTAGTGAGCTGAAGATGAAACGACGCAAATTAAGACCTGAGGATGATGCATTGACCCAGTTTCAGGCGTTGAGGCAGTTGCCTCGACTGAGTCAAGCAGATTGCAGGGATGTCATCCAATTGCTTCGTGACGATGACGTTGGCCGGCGCACAGGAGTTCGAGAGCACCTTGCGTACCCACAGGCCTCCAAGCTGATGCGAAAGATTATGGCGGGCGAACACAAGGATGTGCCAGTGCATATGAATTTTCTACCGGATCTTCTGCAGGCGAAAGTAGAGGCATGTCCTCTGTTCGCGCGCTTGCTGTCAGATGCTTGGGAAAGGTACGATGGTCAATTGACTCTTGTTGTTTTTTCAGATGACACAACTCCCGGCAACATATTGGCTCCACGGCAGCCGAAGAAGTCTTGTATGATGTATTGCAGCTTCTTGGAACTAGATGTCTTGTTCCTCGATTCGTGCTGGCTTCCGCTGAGCAATATGCGAACCAATGAGCTAGCAGAGAGAGGATTTTCCCATGCGGAATATCTGCGCTGCGTGTTGGAGTCTGTGCACGACGCAGCGCAACATGGCTGTGCCATCACTCTGCGACAAGGTTCCGTACTAAGACCACAAAATGAAGATATTTTCACTTTAGGCACTTAATGAAGATATTAGTAGTTATATGAACTTATTATAGAAGTGTTTTTCTCTATTTTTACTTATTTTCACTTATTTTTCAATGTTTTTTTGATGATCAGAATTGATTATAGACGATGCATTTTTCTGTTATATATTTTTTGAAAATAGTTGTCGACCTTTTTGTTTCCTTTGGAATATTTTTTTCTTGCCTTTTTTTCATTGTTTTTTTCATTCTTTTCAGGCATCATCCTTTTAGAAATCACCCTTTTCAGGAATTATCCTTTTCAGGACTTATCCTTTTCAGGATTTTTTTATTCAGAATGAATCCTTTTCAGGAACTATCCTTAACAGGAATCTTTCTATTCAGATTGATTTCATTTTCAGGAACAATCCTTTTCAGGAATTATCTTCTACAGGAAATGGTTCTTCTACAGGAATATGCGCGGCTGCGAGTGACACAAAGAATCTTGAAGTACATCTGTGGAGAAATCATTCAGAGGCAAAAGGAAAAAACATATAAAGGATGCTTCTTGGAAAGAACAATTGCTCTTTTGATGTGTCTTCTTCAATTGTATACGACTGCCCAGAATGAGATCTTTCACAACATGAGGCTTCGGTTACTACTTCCAAACTACATAATTCAGGGATGAAGATGGATACCTGATTTGGAAAATATTCTATTATATTTTTTTTGCTGGTAAAAGTTTTAAAGCTAGCTGGCTTGCTTTTTGTTTTGAAAATGTATTTTCTATAATTGCTATTTTTGTTTTATTGTTCATATTGTTCTACAATTTACTTTCTTTTGATTTCGCATACTTTGTTCATACGGTTTTTTCTCAATTTTTGCTGAGATTATTATGATTTGCTACATACTTGGTATTATAAATACTTTGTATATTTACTTATCCTTTTTTTCTCTATAAATATTTTCTGAATTCTCTGATTTTTTTGAATTTTTTGAATTTTTTGATTTTTTTGAATTTTCTGAATTTTCTGAATTTTCTGAATTTTCTGAATTTTCTGAATTTCCTGAATTTTCTGAAATTTCTGAATTTTCTGAATTTTCTGAAATTTCTGAAATTTCTGAATTTTCTGAATTTTCTGAATTTTCTGAATTGTTTTCCTTTTAATTTAAATTGTAAATTCTGAATTTTCTGAATTTTCTGGGGAATTTTCTGAATTTTCTGGGTTTCTGAATTTTCTGAATTTTCTGGGTTTCTGAATTTTCTGAGTTTTCTGATTTTCTGAAATTTCTGAAATTTCTGAATTTTCTGAAATTTCTGAAATTTCTGAAATTTCTGAGTTTTCTGAAATTTCTGAGTTTTCTGAATTTTCTGAATTTTTTGAATTTTCTGAATTTTCTGAATTCTATAAACTTTCCTTTCCAGGAAGTATCCTGCAGAGAACTATTCCCTACAAAATTTTTCCTGTTCCAGGAAGTATCCTGCAGAGAACTATTCCCTACAATTTTTTTCCTTTCCAGGAAGTATCCTGCAGAGAACTATTCCCTACACAATTTTTCCTTTCCAGGAAGTATCCTGCAGAGAACTATTCCCTACAAAATTTTTCCTTTCCAGGAAGTATCCTGCAGAGAACTATTCCCTACAATTTTTTTCCTTTCCAGGAAGTATCCTGCAGAGAACTATTCCCTACACAATTTTTCCTTTCCAGGAAGTATCCTGCAGAGAACTATTCCCTACAATTTTTTTCCTTTCCAGGAAGTATCCTGCAGAGAACTATTCCCTACAATGTTTTTCCTTTCCAGGAAGTATCCTGCAGAGAACTATTCCCTACAATTATTTTCCTTTCCAGGAAGTATCCTGCAGAGAACTATTCCCTACAAAATTTTTCCTTTCCAGGAAGTATCCTGCAGAGAACTATTCCCTACACAATTTTTCCTTTCCACGAAGTATCCTGCAGAGAACTATTCCCTACATTTTTTTTCCTTTCCAGGAAGTATCCTGCAGAGAACTATTCCCTACAAAATTTTTCCTTTCCAGGAAGTATCCTGCAGAGAACTATTCCCTACAATTTTTTTCCTTTTCAGGAAGTATCCTGCAGAGAAATTGTCCCTACATTTTTTTTTCCTACCATTTTATTTTCCAAATAGGCGCCTTCAGAGAATTGTTCTTTAGCAGCATATTCCTGTTCAGGAAGGTTTCTTCAGAAAAGTAGTGCTCTGAGACAATATTGTTCCGTCGAAAATCAACATTCCTGTGAATCTATCAAACACACATAAAAATCAAATTTCACTTCTTATCACTTATTTTCGCTTATTTTGGCTTATTTTTGACTAATATTCTACTATATTTGCTTATATTTTCCTTATTATGTTATAAGTTCACCTAAAAATTTAGTGGAACTTATAACAAAATATTTTTGAAAAAACAATTTGAACAAGATATTAGAAGGATAATAGTAACTTATAGTATACTTATAAATTCATTAAGTGCCTAAAGTGCAAATATTTGCATTTTGTGGTCTTAGTATTGTTATGGATTTGCAAGATCGTGGTCTTGGGGGACCATGAAGGCCTAAGGGCCTACGCTGGTTGCAAGGGTGCAGCTGGTCTAAAGCCTTGCTGGCGCTGCGTGAATGTTGTATCAGGGAGCCGGGCCTTGCCTCCGGGGCACGTGCACTTGGATAACGCGGATGTCGCGCTGCTCCGAGCGCAAACGGATGAAGGTTTAGAAGCTGTGCTAGCACACCTACGTGGTTGCAACACAAAAAAAGCCTTACAAGAGGCTGAAAAACTGTTGGGTTGGTCTTTGTCTACCGTGGAAAAAGGGATACTTACATCCCCTTCCCTGTCAGATTGGGTGTCTCTTGAGTGTCTGTATCTGGATTCCATGCACCAATTCTGGTCAAACGGTCTAGTGGGACAAGACATAGGCCTCTGGTATTCAATGTTGAAACAATTGGGAATGGAGTCTCAATTTCTCCAAAGATGGGCAAGCATCGGGTGGAGAAACCTGTTGGGTGGAGCAAGTCCCCAAGAATGTTTCAACGAAAAACTTTTCCGCGATGGAGCGGATTTCCGAGGTGATGCCGATACGACGCTGCAAACCTTGCCTTTAATGGCCGCATTCGCAAGGGAAATGTTGGGAGGACAAGAGGCAATGGTTGCAGCGAACGAAGCTTTGTGGGCATTAGTCGATGTCACCAGCTTACTGCAACGAACAAAACTGCATCCGCGAGATGCAACGCACTTGAATGAAAGCATCCAAAAATACAAGCAAAAGTGGGATGTCGCCTACGCGGCGATCGCAGGGGCAAGACCCAAATTCCACTACTCATTACACCTCCAAGCCCAAATTCAAAAATATCGTCGACACATCGATTGCTTTGTAGGGGAGCGCAAGCATCGTGTGTTTAAATCCATGGTAGCACCGCGCCTTTCGCGATTGGGTTGCTTTTCTCGAAGCACCCTTTTGCAATTAACAGAAATTGAATTGACTACGAGTCATCCGGAAAGTGAGTATAGCGGCCAACTGGTGGGCAAGTCCACGCACGACGTGGAGCTGGCAAAGGAACTAGGGCTGCCTGGTAATGTTGTCTTTGCCAAAGGCATTCAAATCCATTGTGTGGAGTACTCACGCGGTACCTTTGTGCAAGTCGCAGCCAAGTGCTGCATCGAAGTTCTCTGTGGTCTTCTGCAGGACGATTCTCTTTCTGTAGTGGTGCAGCCCTTGCAACCACGCATCTCCGAACTTTCTATTAGCAAATGGGAACGCCTCCCAAAGCAGAGGCACGTCCTTGCAGCAACCAAGTTGCTGCTAACTGAACCCATGCGCTTGCTGCGCGAAGACCAAAACGGTCTCTGGCTGCTGCGCTAGCACCAAACGCATCGAGGGCGGATAAAAATCAGCAAATCTGACTCTGATGTTGCAACAAAAAAAACCTTAAATTCCCACAAACAGTAACACATGCTAAAAACAAGAAAAAAACATATGAAACAGTTAGCTTCACTTAGCGGTCACTTAGCTCACACTTAGCGAGACCAAAACCTAAGTGCCAGCTAAGTGCCAGCTAAGTGCCTAAGTTGCCCGGCGACTCTTAAGTACGTTTCTATCTTTTTGGACTTACTATGACTATATCTTACGAAATGGAGGTTTCCTAAAATATGGGTACCCATGGGTACCCCGAATATCACCAAATCATCTATTTTGAGAGGATTGTCCATTCAATACCATCCAGCGGGGTAGCCCCATGACTTGGGAAACCCCCACCATGCAACTGACTAGACTAGACACTTGATGCCAAGTGGCAGCGGTGGAATAAGTGTAGGACCACACGCGCTCTGCCACTTCGAAGGGGATGCCTGCGGACACAAACACCTTCGATGGAAACCCAGTGGAAACTCCCGAGAAGTTGCGATTGTAATTTTACCAATTTCATGACTTACTGGTGCTTGGTAGGGAATGGATGGGAATAGGGGAATTGGATGATTATTCATAGTTATTGTGGATCATTCCCGAAAATTCCCTACGTTTAGCACCAGTAAGATGATACAAACGTGAAATCGCTGGCTTCAACCCCCTCATCCCAGTGTTTGGGACGGGCAAAATGGAATAGCAATGGGGTCTGTTTCGCATACCGAACCGCAACAGTGTCTTAATGTGCCTTAATAAGCCCTCATCACTGGTTATGCTGGTGAATCGACACTTGATAAGGGATTGTTTAGGGGGGTACCGGGGGTACCTTTGGCTGCAGTCCTGCAGAAAAACCCAGAGCTACAAAGCTGTGGTGGGCGACTTTTAGTCGCCGCGCAACTTGTCCAGTACCCGAAATGGTAATCAAACATGGTTTGGAACAAAAAATCACCCGATTTCGCGATGATGTTCAGTAATTGTCCCATATGGTAAATGCCAATGTTTCTTCGTGGATCTCCCATTGCCAGCCCATGTGTTGATGCGTCTGATGCCTCCGGCCATGTCTTGAATCCGAATGGCAACCTGTCCAGAGTTGGCACTGACAGTCACCACGATCCTGACTGAGCATCTGCTTGGAACGCAACTGCTTAGTAACCACAGTATAAGCCATGGATATATGGAGGTTTCCTAAGTCATGGGGGTAATTCGAAAGCATCCATTTTAGATTGTTTTTTTTTCCATGAAACAAATCAACAAGCTATTGGGGATCCCCTGAAAATAGACATATGTTAAACCACCTAGCAGAGTCTTGGGTTTGATGATATTTAGTTGTATTTTTCTATCCACCTGTTCTAGTGGACACTCAAAGTAGCGAATTGATCTATAGAGTCCATGAGGCACTAGTGGGGTCCATGGATCGGAATGGGTCCTGCCATTCCATCCCATCACGGCGGGTTGGGAACATGTAACGCCCCCAAATGGATGGTGTCAATTCCTATGGTCCTGGGAAATTCGAGGTTACTTCAGCGACTTGATCCAGACCCATTGAACAAATGGCCCAGTGATTGCGGTATCTATAACACACAATGACCGTGGCTTCTTCAACTGGAAAATTAGGCTACCCCCATTCCATCCGCTGGTTTATTGTTTGTTTCCCTCTTTGAATTGGCATTGTTTTGTTTCTTGCTTTTTCCGAATGTTTGGACAGACCCATATCATATTGTTGGATATTGATGGATATTGTTGGTGTGTGTATTTATATACAGTACACATCCATTAGCATCCATGATTTGTATTCTATCAGATCCTCCTTTTTGTTGCTTAATGCATGTTAACTCCACCCCCTTACAATCCTTTCCCCTAATATCAAAGACCCCCCAGAAACCATGGTCTAGTAGGTGATTTGGACATACTTGGGATGTAATCAAGGTGTGATTAGCGGATGGACGGATGGAATTCTTTTCCCATGAATGATCCCTATCATATTCCAAAATGATATCCCTTATAGTTAAATCCAAGGATTATCCACCATCATAGAATTGGATGATGGGAAAATTTTAACCGGAAACCCCTATATTTCATGGTCAAAACCATGGGTTTTCCGGTTAAGATTTTCCTGTAAAAACCAATCCATTGACACCAACGAATTGGGAAAAATTCGCCATGGCTTACCGAGCCACGGCCGGGCTTCGATCTCCTCCTGGCTGCTGGAGGTCTCAATGGTGGCTCTGGCGCTATTCTTCAGCAGCTCCAAGACCATGTAGTAGAGATACTTCGGCACGTAGGTGAAACCTCCAGCAACTGACTGCTGATCTGATGATATCTAGAATGATATCTGGTGATATCCGGTGATATCTGGTGATATCTAGTGATATCTGGAGTGTTCTACACCTCTGAAGTGATGATTGGTGATATAGAGAGATCACTTGTGAGATCTGGTGATATCTTAGTGTTCTGACAAGTTCGTGAAAATTGCTGACCAAAATACTATTATTTTGGTGATCTGGCGATCTGACAAGTTGATGGAAACGATGTAAGACTATCACATCAATCAGTGATCAATCATGATCAACGCCTTTGAAAAACTGATCTGAATGGTCAGCATTTCAGGGAAGCAAATCGTACATGATAAATCACGATGTTAATCATGATCCAAGATGATCCCACATAAGCATGATAGGTAATGTTTCTCAAATGTGTGACCCGAAATGCGGGGATATCCTGCAATGTTGTGCATCAGATGGCACATGGTGAAACTCAAGGCCGTCGGGCCATGGTTACCTCCCTTAGGTGATGTCTCTTTGTATGTGAGTGTCTGAACAGAAGCTACCCCTGGATTATCATCATCATTCATTATCCGGAAATTACCATTGGCATTTGGGGGTATACCCCATGCTCAAACAAAGCCATGGATTCAAAATGATTCTGATATATTCTGATCAAATGCTGGAGGGTACCCCAGAGCGCTGCTTGTCACTTGCGGATCACAACTGGATGGTGGCCCTGAACATCAGGTGCTATTCACAAACAGATGACCATCTTGCCATATAGTCACTGCTCCAAAAAAAACATGCTTATACTGCAACCATTTGTAACCAACGTCTAGAAACAGTGAATCACCACAGAACCTATCCACTCGCGGGAGTTGCAACATGTTGCAAGGGTGCTTACTGAACTGTGCCCTCCAAGTCATCCGCAACTGCCGAGACGCAATGCCGTTCCTTGGTATTTCCAGGATTCTCGCGGCTAGGCAACGTTTCGACCTTGATCTTCACAGTGTTCCCAATGCGCTTGTAGTGCTCCATGCCTCAAAAGACCCCATGGAATGCAGACTGACTTTTTGACCATCCAAAGCACTAACATTTTGAATTTAACTCAAGAGATCCAACTAGTAAAGCAAGAACAGCAACAACCAAAGTATGATTATAGTCGTATTATATTATGTGTATATATACATATATATATAATGAATTATGTTTGGTAGTACTTTCAAAAGATTGCTGCATGATAGAAACTTATTTCACCCAAGGATGCCGTTGACATCCTCTCACATGGAATCCAATGAAACTCTTAGAAATCAAATGGTGCCAGCCAGCTGTATTTGTCGAATCATAGGGCACTTTATTCCAGACTCCTGGTTCATCATCACTTTCCCTATGAGAATCGCAGTTCGTGGGATAAATCATTCTCGTTTTTCAGACCCAGACAATTATGGTTCAATTGTTCCATCTATCCCATAAAATATTCCATAAAATATATCAAGTAAACAAATACATTAACATAATTTTCCATTAAATCCCTGATTCTTACATTAAATCTCATAAAAATACCTATTCTTCATGGCTTCAATCCCATGGCAGCCACCGGTTTCAACCGTCAAACGATGTCACGGGTCACCAGGGTACAGAGCCAGCGCGCCCGTTCAGCTGCCCGCAGGCATATGATGGTGGGATCACAGTCCTTCTCTACGATGCTGCTGCCCTGCGGACCCAACTTCAGCTGAAGTAACTATGGTTTATAAACCAGCTGATGGGTGTGAAAAACATCCATAGTTACTTTTTTATGGGTGTCAAAAAAAATCCGTTATAAATCCATAGTTACTTTTTTTATGGGTGTCAAAAAAAATCCTATAAATCCATCGATAAACCCAGTGATCAGCTGAAGTAACTATAGATAAATCTAAATCTAATGGGTGTTTTTTCAACCAGCTGATGACTGGAGGGCACCTTGATTGATTTCATGGATTTCATGGTCAACCATCAAATGGATATGGGAATCATGGAGAATTAACATGAATTAACCACCAATAGGGGATAGTTTATGGGATAGAACTAAGAACTCATGTTAAGGATTCTGGATAGATTCTCATGTTTCACTCAACTGAAACTGAAACATTGGGCCATCAATAGGGATAGTTAACCCACTCCTATCCATCATTCCAGTGACATCGCAGTGAGTCGGGTGAGCTTACCCCGTGACCTTTTTTGGGATAAGCCCCTTACAGTAGGGGGCTTGACAGCTTCAAGCATGGGGGTATTGACCACTAAATGGGATGTTCCTCCAGGCAGCTGGAACAATGCTCTGGCTGGATCATGATCTGAATACACGCGATGGGTACATCATGGTATATCCAATAACAACTGGTAAAAGAAGAAAAGGTTGTGAAGCACTTGCTAAGTGGAATGCAAGAAGGTTACCCTCTGGTAATTTAACCTACATGGAAAATATGAATATGGCCCATTGACTTTCAGGATTTACCTATGAAATATATGGGGATTTTCCAGTTCGCAACCTTTTAGGTTACCAGAGAATACTCCCAAATAGAAGATCTGTAGCATAGTGGACGATCCCAGTGAAGAAACAGCATCGGCTAGACGGGAAATCCTTACAGCATAGCGTGGCAACTCCCGAATCAACGTTGGCATCCACAATTGCCAGGAATCGTGTCAAAAACCCACCAGGGTCATGTCGATCATGTTCACCGGAATGGGTTTTCCACATGAGCCGAACTAGGTTAGTTTACCCAGATGGGTAAGTACATAGCAATAGCAGATGTCCATTGCCAGAACTCTGATCAACCGTGTGGATCCTGGCGAATGGGCGCCTCCATGCTCGCCACATAGTGTGAAGTGAGCATCTCTGTACCGATCCGCGAGAGCAAGAAACGATCCAACCACGGTTCCTCAGACACCGGGACCATGCTGAACCCCATAGGGACCATAGGGACCAAGGTAATTGCCCTCTGGATCCCTCTGGTAATTGAACAGTTTGCGAACTCCAAGCCATGACCCGTTTACTTCGATGATTTGTCACAATGACTTTCAATAGCTATACGTCAAATGACCAGAGGGTACGCTGTAAAGATTGAGATTCAAATGTTCCCACCAGCGACTTTATGGCTTTATGGTCATATCATGGGATACTAATGATATGTCAGTTGGTTATGAACGTCCCCTAGTCAGAATCAACTGATTCCAGGACAACTGTCAGAATGTCTCCCAGTTGTAGTTTCTAGACGACTTTCTTGTTGGTCTAAGTTTATGTTCTACCTCGGAACACTTGCCAAACCCGAATGAATTGGAACGATTTCCCTGGATAAAACAGGATCAGCGGAAAAAAACAATGAGCCATGATTTCTGGTTGCAGCGCCTCAAAACACCAGATGATGAAGCCATCTGCTGTTGGTGAATTTCTTATAAATGTTTGCTTGAAACCACATTCGGATATATTTGGCTCAGGCTCAACTTTCTTGATCCCCCTAAATTGAATGGTTTTAGCTCCCCTAAACAACATGGGATGAAAGATGGCTGAATACAAAACTGCCTGCAAACAAGGTGCTAGAAAGGATTCCTGCAGGGCCAGACCTCGCGTTTCAGGAGAACCAGGGGTCAACTATAGTACTACTCCACTTATTGGAAAAATCCCGAATTAATCGTTGGTCAATGGGGGTTCTGGAGGTTCCCAGTTCACGGATAACCAGAATCCATGCAAATTCAGAATATATTTGGTACACTATACTTATCCTTGACCCAAAAAAAACAAGTGGAGATGCACCCTACATATCCCTACATGGTAAGTGGCAACCATAACCATAGTTACAACCCAGCTTCACCACGGACTTTCCCAAGGAATCCGAATTAAACATAGTATCTCTAGTAGAGAATTATACAAAATACTCTCTGCCAATTTAACGGCTTGCTAGGAAAAGTGACCCCTTTATGGATGAACTATTGAAATTAGTGATTGTCCATAGTTATATGATCTGAACATATTTATGTGAGGGTACATGTTGATGTCCCCCCATGGATGTACAACTCGCTCGTGGAAAAGCTATGTTGGGTACACAACATGTCCCATTTCTGGAGGAAGCCGCGTAGCGTCTATCTTTAGGATGTAAACAGGCGCAGCATTTTCATGGCACTCCAAGACAGGAGGAACCCTTGAGACCATGATGGAAACATTTATGTAAATATAATCTATTGGGATACCCTCAGCAGTTCTATCTTATCAAATAATATATATATATATATAACATAGTATAATATAATGTATATATATAATAAAATATATAATATATATAACATAGTATATATAATATATAATATGTATATATAATATGATATACGTATATAATATAATATAATATAATATAATATATATTATAATATGATATGTGTATATTATATAATATATATAATAAAAATATATATATATATAATAAATATATATATATATAATAAATATATATATATAATAAATATATAATAAATAAATATATATTATTATTATTCAATGGGATCTCATAGAAGTTCTATAGCCTGGAACATCTATTGGGATACCCTAAGCCAAAAAGATTACCCAGGCTCTCAGAGATCACGGTGATCCCAACAGGGTTCCACTGTATCTCGTCTGTCTAGACTGCTACCCTAGCGGCCCTAGCTTTCAGTCACCAATATTCCACTTTTAACTGTTTTCACATCTATAGTCTATATATATATATATCTATTTATTATATAGACAGTATTATAATATATATATATTATAATATACACACATTGAATTCGTCCTCCAATCCATCTCCAGCCGGCCCCTCCCTTTGTCCAAAAAAACAGAAGCCGCGCCTTTGTCCTTCAGCTCCTGCAAGGCTTCCATCAACAGACTGATCGCCCCACTGAGGCGATGCTTGGTCCGGGTCACCGCCACCGTCAGATCATGCAACTCGTGGTCCTCCGTCGAAGGCAACGTTTGTGTTTTGCTGTGTTTTTTGGGGGAAAAACCATGGTGGTTTGAGAATGGAGAACAACACGTCATTTAGGTAAGAACATGATATATATATAGATACATATATATACAGTATATGAATATATATATAGATATAATATTAAATAATATCAAATAATATATTATTGAACATCTACACCATATGTAAAAATATGGTGGTTTGAGCACTAACCAAAAATAACGTGACTGGACCGTCCTTCAGGTCGATGAGCCGCAGGTCGCTGAAACACTGGAAGTAGAGATATCGCAGCTTCACTAAGTCCTATATAACGCCAAGAGAAACACAAAGTGGGAGTGAAAACCAAAGGGTACACTACCCATAGGATCCATGTATGGTATATATGATGACATTTACCATCAATATACCCCAGTCATGTTAGCACATATACCATACATGGATCCTATGGGCTATGGTGAAGAATGACATCTCGGGTCAATGATGGTACATAAACAAAAACAGTACCCTGTTGAACACTCAGATCTCTGGCGGATAGATGTTCATTGACCAACACTCCAAAGCCATATTGATTCGATGTTTCAACATCGCCAATGCACTGAGATGTACTGTATATACAGTTTTTTTAAGTTTTACCAATCTTGCGATGTCATTATGTAGCTAGTTTCGAGATCCAAGTTGACTTAAAATTCAGTCTCTAAAACGCCCGTTTTTTAACCTCACAAGTCCCACAGAAGCTTCGCGCGTGTACAACATCCACTCTCCACCAGATAAACTGGTTGGTGGTTTCAACCCCTCTGAAAAATATGAAAGTCAGTTGGGATGACTATTCCCAATCTATGGAAAAAAAAACATGTTCCAAACCACCAACCAGTAAAAGTTGATAAGGTGATCCCTTTTCATTATCATTCAAAGTAGCCATCAGTTTTCTACAATTTACCTAGCATTCTGATGATTTCACCGCGAAATCTTGGATTCCCTTGGGAGATGTTTCCTAAAGTGTTCGGAAGTTCGGGGTACCCCAAAACCATCCATGTTAGCAAGATTTTCCACAACCGTAACCATCATAACCATCCATTTTGGGGCAACCAATTTATGGAAAGCCCCATATTGGTGGGTCCAGAACTCCCCTCACTGCCTGGGACTCGTGCCAACCAGGAATATCCTGAACGTTGGACCAGACGTAGGTTGGTTTCTTCAATGCCACAAAATACAATAGTGTGATGAAGCTAACGATTATAAGGCCAATATAAGAAACCTACCATTATTATAAACCATGGTATAAACCATGCCAGAGAATAATGTGATGAAGCCAATAAGAAACCTACCATTTCTTTAGGCATGGTTTATACCACGGTTTATGGCGTTGGGTTCACCACATTACTGTTTCATCTCAAAGATGGTTGAACATCAAACAAAAAATCTGTATGCAACTACCGCCAGTCAGCCATTTGTAAATACGTTCCCATCAAACTTTGCCATATGCCATCTACTGGTGTGAATTCCACCATTTCCACAGGAAATTGTAACCACCATCAACTATCTAAACCAATCTAAGTTCTGCAATATCGCCCGCAAACAAAAATATCTACCCACTATGACATGATATATTTACGAGTTTGCACCGAAATTCTTCATTTCGACATGTCCTCCCCTCTATAGAGGCGCCCTACTTGAAGGCGCCACCGGCGCCTCGATCTGCCGGATGCGCTTGGCGAAGCGGATGGGCAGCTCCCGATTCGCCAGCTCTGCCACTTGCAGCGGCGTGGCGGCGATGACTTGGCACAGCGACAGCGGGGTGGCGCCCTGATCCGCCAAGTAACAAACGTCGGACCAGAGGAACTCCTAACGGTTGGAGTCTGGTTGGTTGAAGGGCCGGGGTTTTCACAATCATATTATGATGTAGAATTATATTGAAGTGATTTGAAGTGTATATATGAACTGTATATGCATTGTATATGGTGCATATAAATACATACATACATCTGGGTAAATTATAATATTTCACTAACCTGAATTAAGGCCATTTGGGGATGATTTCCCTTATTAACCATGATTCCAGTGAGGTCGCAGTGAGGTCGTTATAATTTACCCAGATACATTACATAACATAACATAACATTACATAGCATTACATAATATTACATAACATTACATAACATTACATAACATAAAATAACATAACACACCATAACACACCGTAACACACCGTAACAAACCATAACACACCATAACACACCATAACACACCATAACACACCATAACACACCATAACACACCATAACACTCCATAACACTCCATAACACTACACTACACTACACTGCACTGCACTGCACTGCACTGCGCTGCACTGCACTGCACTGCACTACACTACACTCCACTGCACTGCACTGCACTGCACTGCACTACACTACACTACTACACTACATTACATTACATACATACATACATATATATATAATCATATAATGTACATTTGATGTATTATACATGGTGTATATATAAATATATATACACGCATCGCAGATATATTGTATATTTCAAGAGGGTTTTATGACATATATTGAAATATGCAACGAAATCCTCAGATTCTGGATCATGGAGGATTTACATATTGATGAAACCCACAAAGACTGTTGGGTTTTGAATGGCTTTGATAGTGGGGTATAACCACTGAAGTGGGATATAGATTGGGACATGACCACAGAATCTCATGGATTAACGCGGAACCTTTGGGTTGTAACGGATCATGGATTTGAGGATGGGGATAAGAACAGCCAAGCAAATGTCCAACCAAAAGTATTTTGAACACACATATGTAGGCATGGGTGGAAGTTATGTTGTCGGAGTGAACAAATACTGTGGTCCAAACATGTTCATACATTTTCAATACATTTTCCATATCAATCCATATCCTCGATATTCCAGCGCAAGCTGCGCATCTGAGACATACAGTAGCCTTTCTGCTTCTTGTTATGTATTCCTCTCAATAATCCATCAAGTAGCATCTCCATGTATCCCTGGTCGAGCTTTTTGGTCTGTGAAGCCCGCTTTGCTCTGGGGAGTTTACCATGCTATTTTATTGAAGTCCTATTCTCACTGGCTACATATCCCGTTCTTTATTCTCACATCCAAATGTTTAAACACTATTTCACAATCTTTTGCATTTGGACGGGATAGGCCACAGGTTTGACGAAGAGGTTCGTGAGGGACTTCTATTCTAATATTCCACATATTGTTACTAGCTTCGGAAAATGGGTTGTAAGTTGTAAGCCTTTAGCCAACCGCATAACCCATGACCAATTAGAGGGACTTTCCACTGATCCTCCAGGATGGCAGCCCAGCAGTTGTAAATCGGTTAAACCATGTTAAACCCCATTCAAGCGCAGGTTTTTCCACCATCATACATCTCCTATTGGTATAGCATAGTTTGCAAATGTTGCAAGCCAACATAAGCCGACCTATCTTGGGTGCACCGTAGACCTGTGTGATCCGCGGTCCAAGCTGCTGTCAAGCGGTGCTGGGGGATGCTGACTCCATGTAACTGGCGTTTCTGTTGCCGCCGGAAACCGTGACCACCGTGACCACCGTGACCACCGTGACCGCTGGGGCGAAGCTTCTGCAACGACCAGGTCCGGATCAAAGGACAGCGGCGCACGGCACTGTGCATGGGGCGCGTGAACGCGACAGATCTCAGAGAAGTTGAGTTTCCAAAAAACAGACACTGAAGTTCTATGAAGATCTGATGGATTTGGCTAATGACTGTCATGGGAAGCAGTTTCATGATGTTTCATGGCACTTCAGGTTATAAAATACTGCTAAAAATACCCCATACCCCTATGCTTTAAGTCATTTCGTTGGAGCCGGAGCCAGTGTGAACAATGGAAACATATGTGGGGCTATTTTCCTAGACTCTGCAGCTTCTGCTTTGAGCAAATGAAGCTAAAGGGCCGAGCTTGGCTGTGGTGGTGCCTTCGAATATCTTCAAATGACGTCTAAGGCCTCGTCAAACCCAGAAGCATGTAGACTGAGAATATTCTAAAACGGAAGGCAACACCATCACTTGCCCTTCCAATTACCTCTGAGATCAGTAACCAGATTGAAATATCTTCTGATTTTGGGGATGGTTGCGCATCTGACAGGCAACTGGCAGCGACGCATTCATCCCGCTCGGCTGACGATTCTTCCAACGCGAGACTTTCGATTGGGAGATACCACAGAGGTAAATCTGTCATATTCACAACCAGCCGGATGAATCTTGCAAACCTTCACTTTTTGCTGCGGACTCTTTCCTGGCTCATTGAGAACGGGCCTAGCTCATTGAGAAGGGGAATGAGACTCGATGTCTTTCCATCAGAGACCAGAAGTCGAGAGAAGCTCAGACACTTTCCTGATGTCCTTGGCACTTTGTTCATCCGCACTAAGAAGTTGACAACTTTCAGTGGGATATATGAAAACATATTTATCCAAACAATGCTAAATATACGGCAGAAAAGAGAAACATGTACAGTCTTGCTATATTCCATCCAATTTCCAAATGGTCTCCAGCGCTGGTGGGAATGGACACGTTTAGCCACATCGCTGCTGGGCCTCTCAAGTCCGACAAACGCACGCTTTTAGCTGCATTGCTAATTGATTTGCTGGAGTTGGCTGGCTTACCGAGTTTGCAACAGGGATCCTTCCGAATCAGAACTGTTGAATGGGTTCAAGGAGTGATTGATTCAATCTAACATGGAACAATGGAACATACTATAATATATATATGATGGACTGTGACACAAAAGACACCAGGACCACCAAGAAAAACAAAGAAACACTTTGAACGTTTGGACATATCAATAGTTGAGCATATACAATCTCTTCAAGGCACGATCTCAAAAATTGCAATGCTTCCAGCAACAGCAACGTTGAGCGAGTTCCTCAAGCGGTGCAGACATGCAGACTTTAAGACAACCAACCGCTAAGTTCGTCAATAGACATGTATGATTGTATGTATCTGTAGATAGATATATATATATAGGTATAGCAATATATTATCTTTTAAGAGTAGGAATATGCCCTAAGTCTGAGCTCCACCCCAACTTCCCAGATCAAGTCCTGCAATGCGCTGCACAATGCAATCTGGTCAAATTTACTTCGAAATCTTGAGATCTTTGGCAAAAAACCCTTGCATATCCTTAAGGATGTTGCAACCATTTTTTAGACTTTTTGAGTGCCCAGGGCCAAGGTTTGTCTGAAAACAACATACTCCAAAAAAAATCATGGTTGATCAGCATCCTCACCACTGGAATGGCCATTCCGGGTCATGGGCACCACCTATTTTTGAAGAACCCCGACCCCAGCTGTTTCTCCCCGCTTCTGCTGGAAATCCAGTCGCCCAAGTGTCTTGATGCCGACCGTCCTGATGCGAACATGCTCATCGCAGGCATTCAAAGCACTTGCCGAGACCCCGTAACTCTCGTGTCCCACCACCAAAGCTAGCGGCAACTTGGAGATGTCCTTGGACAAAATCAGGATCCCTCAGAACCGAACAAAGGGGTCATGGGACCACCATACCATCAATGGCTTAAGGTTTTAAACCCTGGGCTATCATCCTGCATCAATGTGGACAAAAAAACACGGTATGTTCCACAAACTAAAGATGTTTTACCCCATGACATTCAATCTTTAGCCGCATGATCTTTGCAAATGGCATTGTCAAACATCTTTTAGCAACATTCATCCTGTAATTGTTCAATCAGTTTAATCATCATCAGCAATATGACAATTGTGAAAACTTGTCTGGTTGGTGGTTTCAACCAAACACTAGTCAGCTAGGATCATCCTCCCAGGATGGAACAAAAACCATATTGCAACCTCATATAAAACCCCAATTACAAAATCATATAACATATCTGAAAACCACCAACACACATATATATATATATATATATGTAAAATAACCTCACATAAATCACAAACACACATAACATAACCACCAACCAATACTGTTTTTGGGGTATCCCATCAGGTGTCACCGAGTAGCCCTGGCCAGCAAAGTCTCCAAATCTTTGGCTTGATCGGTGGTCTCAAGAGCCCAAACCTGCCGATTTCCGCGTGAAATTGGGGATATCTTGGGGATATCTTGGGGATATATAGAATGGGATATATCTTGGGAATATTGGTATATCTATATAATATAATATCCATCTAATTGGGGATATATAGAATGGTATATAGAATGGAATAATCAGAGCGGGATAGATCTGAGATGATCTGGGTAGACTTCAATCATTCACTCGCTTGAAATGTTTCTTGGGATAGTCACCCCTTACTCACCATCATGGTGATATCACCTTGTGATATCATGGTGATACTGTGGCTGGAAATCATGCACCAGTTGCTAAGTATGAAGGTAACTAACTATGAAACACAGGGATTATAGTGGGATTTAGTAGGATTGTGCCCGTCTACCAACTGGTGCAGGATTTCTTCCACCACAGTATGTTGGGGATATAGAGTGCGATAATGACAGTGGGAGATGGTGATATCGTATGATGTCGTGTTTTTTTCCGAAACGAGCTAAATGTCATGACACATAAAATCTGGTTGGTTAAGAATATGTACAACGATTCTCACAATGGATTCTCATAATTCCCAATTCCCAAGGTCCAATATGTCGGGTAGTATAATCCCCTGAAATAATGGACCAACGGAATGTCCAACACTGCTCATTTGAGTGTTTCTTCAAACTGGGGATCTCCGAAACCATGCTTGTTTTAAGACCAACATTGTCTGATATCTTGCATATGGTACGGTACCCCCCCTTTTAGAAAAACCCTATTTAGAGTGTAGGTTGATGATAAGTTGTAACCCCTATATTTAGGAAGTAGGTTACAACCAGGTAATCTTAACCCAAAGTAGGACAAACCACCAAGTCGTCGAATGATTCTCCGAAAAAAGACTGTGGCGGCTCGCACAACGGATCTGTTCGGAACGACCTGGGTAGTTGGCATAACATCATTACTGGGACGAGATGTTATATCATGTTATATCTTCTCTCGTCCCCAAGAGTGAGAAAGAAGAAATGATGAACATTATGGCATTCGGAATTCAGACCTGGTCAATGGAACATCCACCAACAGACGATTTACGCATTGAATTTGGATACTTTCGATGGCCATGTTTGAACAGCGTCTGTCTACGCCCCAGAAATCATCTGCACCGGGACCTAACCCACCTTTTCTTCAATTCTTAAGAACTGCAAAGGTACATCAGTGGTTTCAAGCGATAGCCATTGATCGTTATGGCCAGTTTGGTCATCGCCGTTTATCTGTATACCATTTGTTTGGTAGAACCGGAGAAAAAACAATATATAAACAATGGCAGATATCACGACCCGGTCCTCCGTGCAACTAGTATGACCTACCATGATCTACCGATACAATTTTGCACTGTAAAAGGCCAATATGCTTGTTCAGTAAACCCCCGTGAAAAATACCTTGGGATAACTTTGAAATTGTCTATCTGGTTTGGGACCCCTGTACACACTGGCAATTTATTTACAAGTTGCATATGGATGAGATATCATGCTGGAACCATCAAAGCTCGTGCTGTGTTCCCTGCTGGGTATGGATAAACACGCCGGTACTCTGGCAAACGTTGAAGCAGCAGGTGGATATTATGGATGTTCATACCACATTCATATGGGAAGATCGCAAGTTTTGAGCGCTCCCCATAAAGCCATGTTTCTCTTTGGTAGGGGGTCATAATCCCCATTCAAGTGCGGTATTTCTGGATGTTAGTATTGGTAAGCTTGGAAATCCCCATGTAGCCAGAGTAAATACCTGTCTGTTGTTTGCCAATCTCATTTTTTTCCTTTTGCTGACTAACCCACCAAATTTGCGTATGACTCACACATGGGGCAGCGATGCAACCAGAAGCTTGGTCATGTTTAAGTTTTTAGTATTCAACTCAACCATCCCAAAATTGGGCACACATGATTCTACCTCATGTCAAACCAGAAAATAATTCCCTCCCATTTCGATTTGTTTGTGACTTTAAAGCAGAGGATTCCTCAAATTCGGCACCCAGACTGGACTATTTTGACTCATCCTCGCCTCAAAGCCCTGTTGTTGGAGTCGCTTCACCGCATGTTGCGCGGATTTTTCAAATCGGCTGGGCAGCAGTGCAGCATCTCCAGCGTACTTCAGCAGCGCGGGCATGGGTGGAGCGGGGGTGATGCCGCAGTAGACCACCTGTAGAGCAAAACCATGGCCATGGTAGTAGAATCCATTTGGCTATGGATCAATACCTATTAATACCATTTTTAGGGGAATGAACATCCATAGATCCCAGCTATTTTGATGTTCACCGGGGGTACAAGGTTTTGACCCATCCCCATTTGATGTTGACGGGTGAAGAAAACTGACATGGATTTTCAGCACAGATCTTAAGATAAATCTTCATATGTATTTTGATAGTCCTTGTATTATTCTGAATGGTTTTATTGCTCCTCACATTTTCTGGGAATACGTTTCTGGATGTGTTCTACATGTTTGCATCATTTGGGGGTTAAAGATCGTTAAAGATCGTTAAATGTATATTAGTTATTTTCGGTTCCAAGATCTGTTCGGAAACCGAGGTGCAACAAGGGATCGGCTCGGATGGAGTGACAAACCACGCGAACATTTCCCAAGGAAAACTCTGTGGGTCCCAGGTGCACAATGGGCATGGATCCTGGTGCTTAGTAGAGAATTGGGCAACGGGGAAATGGGATGATTGTTCATACCTATTCTGGATCATTCATTCCCCTATTCCGATTCCCTATGTTTAGCAGCAGTAAGCTTATACTAATTAATTTCAGTCCATCATTCAATCAAGTGGAGATGCTTTGGGTCTGCTTGAACCTCCCTTGCAAATTCCCATCTTCGGTGCCTCCACCCCTGCCACAGCGCACGTGCGCAAGAGCGAAGCCACATTTTGCGTCGAGCGCACGCAATCGATGACCAGAGTCAGGGGAGGGCGCAAAGCATCAAACCTGGTTGAGCCACTGCCTTCACCCCTCTGACAGTCAAAACTGCATCGGTATCTGATCTTCAGGCTAGAAAATATACTAATTTGAGTCATATCCCAGCTAAAACACGTTAAAACACGTTAAAACTATCTGCGTGTCCATCAATTAATTATACTGATATGTGTCACAGCCCAACTACTGGACTGGTAATCCGGGATAGTATATATCATACATACAATCTTAACCCCTATATGGCTAACGTATGCTAACGTGGGCTAAAGCCACGAACAAATATGTTCATCCAAGAAAATCATTGAAATCCAGATCCAGAAACTGATACCTCGACTTCCGCTCCCTCCAGGCCGCCCTTGCAGCCCGCGCATCCTGCACCAAGCGGTGCACATCCCGCGCCACGGCCGCGGCGCGACCGGGACGGGAGGCGACGCTGCGGGCATGGCCGTTGGGGGGAGAAACGAAGGCCTTGCAACAGCGCAAGGCCTTGGGGCGAAGTTTGGTTCGAAAAATCCCAAAATCTCTCGGTGTTCAAAAAAAAGGATTTTTTATGTGACTAATATGGAAACCCCATAATTATGACAGTTTGGAAAAGGATGATTAAGCATATTTTGGGATTTAATTCAAAGTTCAAAAACAATTATATAATTTGATTCATTTTCGAAGAGGGAAAATAGCACATCACTTGCCAGCAAATCTAGGAGGCAGGGTAAAGGAGTGGATCATGTGGTGGCCGGTCCAAGTCTTCAAAGCTGATTCCATGTTTCAGTAATTCCTCTTGTAGAGCCACATTTCTGGCTTCACTGCAGGCCAACCGCACCCTTCGTCGCTCACGCAGCGTCAGAGATGTGACCAAAGCCGAGAGCCTGATCCAGGAAGATCCAATGGACTGAAAGCTTAGCGTGGAAAATCTGGGGCCATAGGAGATACAAACTCCGTGAGGTCTCCAGTTATGTCTTGTTGCTCGGTTGATCACTTGGACATGCAGCATTTGATGCTGCATTGAAGCTGCGGGGGCATGTGCTGGTTGTTGGACCTCCGCGAAAAAATGAGTTTCTGGCCATGCGCACGTTTAAATCTTCAACAGGGGGGCTGGCTGTTTTATCACGTTGAAATACCCAGTTGCGGAGACAAGTCATCCGCTGGTCAACGCAAATAATCATACAGTAATTCATGTTTTGGATATGTTCTGATCCCATTTTCTCTTTAGCCGTTTAGGATCCTTTTAGGATCGGTTCCGTTCCAAACACTTGGGATGACCGGTGATCCTGTAAATGGAAAGGCTCCTAACAACTACCATCCAGGTGCTTACTCTACCAATGGGAGTAGAAGCATCATTGATATCGATGGCTGGTCGGTAGCTTCAACCCCGTAAAACACAGTCAGCTGGGATGATGATGATGATGATGATGATGATGATGATGATGATGATAAGGCTGATTATGAATATGATTATGATTATGATTATGATGTGATCACAAGATGCAACATATAACCACCATTGTGAAACCACCAAACGGCTGCATATTGATATCCTAGAGTTGGTTGATACATCTCCATTTTTGGCTTATAACTCTACACCCATCAAGGGTCCCACTGAGCGCCACTGTTTTCTCGCTGTTGGTCTGTTGTGGGCATCTGTACAGGCTCAGCCCTGAAGCACTAGGATGGTGAAACCGACACATTTTGGGTGGAACAGTGGAACATGCTGTTCTTCTTGCGGATCATTGGGAGGGGGCGCTGAATCCGTCAAGGGGTCCAACTCGAAACCATGCCATCTCCGCCAGATTCTCCAGCAGAGTCCGGAAATCCCTCGAGCTCCTCACAGCTGCGTAGCTTCACATCAGGCTGCACTTGGATACACAGGCGTCCCAGCGAGCATCAAAGGCATCCGCGGCAGCATTCACGTCCTGACAGGTTCCCTTAAAGGTGGATCCCAGTGATGGTTGCTGGTACGATCATGTTTCATAGATACAGTACATCAGACATCATCCACTTGGAGTACCCTCTGGTAAACTAACATAACTATGGAAAATCACCATTTTTGATGGGTAAATCCACTATAAATGGCCATTTCCAATAGCTACGTTAAATTACCAGTGGGTACTGCAATGCTAGACTACCACGCACTGTATACTTAGATGATCTGAGATAACCATACCTGTACATCATATTGTGCACTGTCATCTTGAGGGGTCCCACTAAAAACTTCCTAGCCACTTGTGCAGTCACCACTTGTGCAGTCACCCCTTTCCAAGTGCTTCTCCCAGTGCTCAGGTTAATCAAACATGGCCATGTGTGGATCAAGTGATTTGGGTACCAAAACCTTCACCTTCTCACTCTTGTCACAACCATCCGCTTGCGGATCATCCCATTATCTTTCCTTACACCGACGATGTTTGTTGGTAACTCATGGATGTTCATCCCTTTATTTCTATAGATAGACTTTGGTGCCCGGCAAAGATCAATTGAATTCATTTGACACATTGCCAACTTGGACGTGCACCCGAATTAGCAAGTGGATGATAAGCCAGAAATAACTTCGGATATTACATATAGAACTGGGATGAACTAGGTGAACAAATCACGGTTGTGATGTGTTTTTTTTAACCATTCACCATCATTCACCAACCACTATATTTGTGGTGCTATAAATAGTGCCGTCCCCATCACAAATTGGTTACAGCTCGATGAGCAACTGCTCTTCGTTGGATATGTATGCGACCCCCAAAGGTGACTCAAATAGAACATGGATAAGCCCGTGTTAGTGGCTGCTGGCGGTGAACAACGACTTTAATAAACTATATACCAAAACATTATTGAGGATTTTTTTGAGGCGGTTCCCATGGGGTTATACCTTTGGGGGGTGCTATCTCATCACATCCCAGTATATTCCCCCCATCAAACCGTGGCTTTGTTCCAAACTTTTACAAAGCCAAAATCACACGCTGAAATCACAATTAAAAAAAGACAAATAGATATACAATTCCTAGTAAAAATGGCCCCATATCTTGGAGATACATCATGTTCGCGGGTGAAATCCCCACTTCTTTGCGCCTGGTCCACTGCTTGCATCGTTGCCGCTGCTCGTCCAACTGGAGCCTCTGAACCACCTGGGTGGGCTGGGCATCCCAAGTCGTAATCTTGTGATATTGTACATATATATATATATATATATATACGTATGTTATGTATAGCAGTCCCCAAAAAGATAGGCAGATACGATCCTACTAAATTAGTGGTAAATGATTTTTCTATCTTTTTGGGTATTAGTATGTAGTAAACCACACATATACTGTACTGATGGTTTATAGCATCGATAAAAAATTGTAAAATTGGGAACCTGATTTATTTATTATATATTATTGCTTTACCTAAGATAAGCCAGGTGAAGATTGCTCGGATATATCGGTATATCCCACAACTCCGTTTTGATATGGTTGTTACCCAAAGCTATGGAAACCGACAATTTCAACCCCCAAAGCAGGGTTGGCACACGATTTTCTGAAATTGAAAAGGGAAGAAGGTGGGGTTGCAACTTCGTCGCAACCCTTGGGGCCATTGGGTACGTAACCTGGAAGTGACGCTGCTATGCACCCAAGGCGATATATAAGCAGCATAAAGGATTCAGTGAACCATGAAATCATAAATATATAGAGACAAAGCCATCAGGTACAAAGACATCATGAATCAGGCATCAGATAGTTGATCAGCACTAGAAAGTAAGAGTTGGAGCAGCAGGACACAAAAAAATGAACAGTCTGGTGTTTTCTCTAGCCGCAGTGGTCGATAGTGACGAACATGACAAAACGACAGACCACAGCCCGGAAAGGCATAGAAATCATGTCATCTCTCAAGATGCCCATCCCGCTTCTCGAGATGGTTTGTGTGTGTTGGAAATTGGAAGTTTCCCAATTGCCGGTATGTGCACATTTTGGACCAACATGTGTATCATTATTATGGGATGTCACATCATGTATGTTAGAACTGGATGCAACTCTCAAACCAATCAAGAACAAAGACCCGCAGGTGTATAGTTACAACATATTTCGCTGCCCTTGGACTCCTTGACTGCTCCTTAAAAGAATCATGTTTCAAATGGCCGGTGGATACTGTTCCCTATTGGGATTCCTTATAAAATAAAAAATGTAATCATCATGTAGCAATGGACACTGCTCCCCCATGCCAATCTTTACCAATCTTTACCAAATTTAGAACCCCAACCCCAATGTTATGCCCTTCCACTTGCTTCGGGTATGTTTAGATTGGCTTTCCAACAAGGGATGAGTTTTAAACCTAAACCTTCAACAAATGCTGATGCTATCACCCCATTTAACTAGACATGTCTGAATTTAGGGTACACCAACGGCTCCCCTGAATCACATGAGATATCGTATCATCATTCTCAGAAATTGAAATTGCCATGATATGCGGGAATGCGGAACGCCCCGTTGTCAGACAGGCCCATGATCAATATTGTTGGCTTTGGACCCAAGTTTTATTGGTTAAATATGGTTGCAGTAAATCCCAATTTACATCATTTGTTTGTTGGTTAAAGATGGTTAAATCATGTTAAATCACAATTTACAGCCACTTATTTGATGCGTCACCAACAACTAATACTTGTGCAACCAAAACAATGCGACCACGGCTCGGATGATACGTTGCTCCACAGCCAGATTGCCTTCATCGCCCTGCGGAAGTGTCTCACGGTATATTGTTCCGGCCCTGATTTTTTTATCCACGAGTGTCACAAAACAGGGTTTAGTCTGCCGTGATCTATTGAGGGAAATCTGGGTAGATATACCAGCACCACTGCACGGATGACAGGAAAATATGACACCAAGCTCTGACAAATCAACTTTTGGTCCCAAACCTCAACAGTGTTCTTTAAGAATATATCAATGTTATTCAATTTTGGTCCCAACTTTTAGATCAAGATATGTGCATCTTTTCAGAATCTGATATCATAAGTTGCCATGATATGCCATATTAAATTGATTTTGGTCCCAACTTTTAGTTCAACTTTTGGTCTAAAATCTTCTTTTTTGCGACTGCTCGATATGGATCCTGGGCATCGTAACGCCATGTTTTTGCTGGATCCCGGTCCTTGAGATCGTTGCCATGGCTGGTTGCTGCAGCTACACCTCCTAGGAGGAAGGTCGATTCAACAAAAAACCCCTCGATTGGTCCAAAAATCTGGTAAGATGTAAGGATCTGATCTTGTCTCAAGGGAAGAAACTGGACTTCCCCATCTCTCACTCTGGGAAAGGATCTTCAAATCGTCTGCAAATTGGGTTTTGAAAGGCACAAATGGTACAGGATGGTTCGACAATGGCTGCATACATGCTTCCACTAATTTGCATAGCAACTCCCTAAAACCAAATGTATGTGGCTTAGTGACTCACTCAGCTCACCAAGAATTTGCAAATTCCAGCTAAATCTGATCAAGATTTATCAACCATAAACCATCAGAAACCATCAATTTCCACGGTCCACAGTGTCCACAGTGACTGTAAACCCACCTGACCCGACGGTGGATCCGTGGATTTCCCTCCTGGAATCCTGGGAGCACTTCCAACACTTCCGCGTCCGCCCAGATCTGCAGGCAGCAGCTGCCGCCAAAACTCGGCACACCAAACCATGGGGTTTTGGGGTTAACCGGTCAAAAGGAGAATGGTTTTAACACATTTGGCCGGATTTATTGTGTTTAATTGTACTATTATATTACAAATTATATGTAAAGGTGTGTATTTGTGTGCAGTACAAACGCACTCGATATATACATCGTGACGATGATTGTATTGGTGATGGTTATGATGCTGCTGATGCTGCTGATGATGATGATGATGATGATGACGAGATTGATGATGACGAGGATGATGATGGTCATGATAATCAAATTATTATAGTGACAATTTATTGCTATTTCTATAATATAATAGTTCTATAATATAATACAATATATTTATTTATATATATGTTGCTAAAATGTACCTGCTTTAGCAACATAATCCTATCAGGGAGGTCGCGAGTAAGATTCAAACTCTTCAAATCTCCATAGAAAAAGAACCGTCCACTGACTCTATTGGTGAATCTAAGGGTCAACCTCCAGGTGAAAAGTCCAAAGGTAAACTATCTATTGTCAGAAAGTCCGACTGTCATTTTTGTGGTGGTATGAAAAAACCCTCGTAACAAAATGGCCAGATAGATAATCACTGTATCTATTTGTTGATTGGGATTTTCAACTCGCCTGAACATGTGGTACCAGTCAATTGGAATCAATCATATCATCTTAATCTTAACATATCTTCACTGAAAAAAAAGAAATCCCCAGAGCAAAACAAAACACCGAGGGTATTTGCTGTAACAAACAAAACCTATATTGACATGTATGTTTAATTTACAATGACCACCCCCATCTGATATTTCGGTAGGTGATAAAAGTGGAAACTCGGGTAAGACGGATCAAACCATCCATATGGCGAGTCCAATCATTTTGACCTCTGACCCCAAACCATATAGCCAATGATGATAAACAGCAAGAACAAATGAGAAGGGAATATGCTGATACCAACGACTAATGATGATACCAGAACAATCAATTCTGCTGATGTGAGAAGGAATATAGGAATATGTGAGAACGGATATGTGAGAAGAAATCATGTGCTTATATATATATATATATCATATATATCATATATATATATATCACATATATATATATATCTAATATATATATATATTATAATATAGTGAATTATAGGTACTAAACCTATTCAACTGATGATCTCCTCAGATCTCCAAACCATCCTCCAGGCGTTGTCCTCGAAAAGCCAAGTCTCTGGGGTCCACGAATCCTCGGGAGATCTCCGAGAGTGGTTGGAGGTTTCACCATCACTGGCATCACCGATAGACTGGGGGGGTTACCCTCTGGTAAACATACAAAAAACTATTGAAAATGACCATTTATACTTGGATTTACCCGTAAAAAATGGCGATTTTCCATAGCTACGTTAGTTTACCAGAGTGTACACCTGGGGTTTCGTAACATGGCCAAAAATCATCGGAATTCTTATGTTCATAAAGGCCTTTTCAATGCAGAAACACACCAAAAAAAGCCACTCAGAGAATCCAGAGCCATTCATCTGCCCAGCCATCTGCCACCCAGCATCCGGCTGCATCTCTCAGGCCTCTCAGGTCAGCCAAATCTTGAGCCAAGATTTGCATCTCCCAGGCCAGTTGCAGGGATAACAAGGAATTTCTTGAAGCCTCTGGTCTTTATTTTACTTTGACACCGATAAAACATGTCCGACTTTTCGAAAGGAACACTATTCACTTAATGTGGGGAGGGGGAATTTGTAATTGTCAGGCAGGGTGCTTGTGGATAGAGAAATTGATGGTGGAAGCCTGGTGGTGCTTGACCTGCGCTGTTTTGGGCAGTTTCTCGCTGCTCAACTCCTCCAGTCTCACCCCTGAGCACCGAGCAAAACAAGGTGACGTCACGTGGGAGCTCATCCCAGCAGTCTGATCAAGTCGTCGAGGGCTCCGGGGCTATAGCATTTCACAGGTAAAATAACTGAGGATTGCTAACAGATCAAATACATTATTAGATTATATTAGATCATGAGCTAATAGTAATAATGAGCTATCACATTTCAATCCCATTTGCCAAAGATCAAATCATTTGAACATCGATGTGATTGAAGTTTGAACCACCATGCACAAGGGGATCTCTGGCTGTTCCGGCTTGGACGTTAAAAAAAAAAACGACTCGGTGGACTGTTCTGCTTCATCTGTTGAGGATCGGATCCTTCGGGCCCTTGGGGATGGAAATCCACGTCCTTTCTGCAGTTTTCACCGTAGATTCAGATGGTGGCTGTCTCACAGGCCGCGGCTCGGAACAAAGAGTTTTAAAAAGTTTGCTGTCCCAAGTGGGAGAACATCAGCCACAGCTCACAGAGTCACAGAATCAAACTGACAACCAGTCAACCAGTAATCATTGTGCTGCATCAATCTGCATGAAGCAATGGATTCACCGCTTGCATGTTGCAATGGAAACTTGGATCCAATCCCCTTGGGGCAGCAACCTCCTCTTCCCACATGGAGAGGGAATGATCCTTTGAAACTTGTGATGTGAATCCTGCTCGGTTTCAAGATTGTGCCCAATAGTGCCAAGATAGTGCAGAGCAGTCTGGTACCCCCAGCTGGACACTTCACATCACCAAGGACCCTTAAAGTTTGATAAATCTTCCTTCATCACGCGCATCACCATGCCGATGTCTTGTTTTTTTCTCCGCCTCCAACCATCTCTGCCTAGAAAACAAGCGTCTGGCAACCCGGGATGGTTGTTGGTGGACCAACCCAAAGCAACAAGTGATATCTGGAGCACAGTTTTATATCCAAAAAATCGGAACGTCCAGGAGGTCTTGCTGCTATACCCAGTGTCTCAGCCGGATGGACATGTGAAACAAACTGGTTTGAAACAGTAGTTGTATGGCAGTGTGTCAAAACCTTGTACCCCTGGTGAACATTAAAATAGCTGGTAAATGGATGTTCATTCCCCTAAAAATGGTATTAATAGGTATTGATCCATACCCATATAATGTTATAAACTTGTCTGTCCCCTTTGTTTTGACCCCAATCCTGAATCGATCTATAGGGATGACTCATGATGGGTGATGGATCATGATGGATCATCTACCCTTACAAGGGCATGGCTCAAAATTGCCGTGTAATTCCCATTAGGAACCCGCACAAAATTCTCAAAATTGGTCATGTTTGGAGTATAAAGCAACTCATCTTCGGGAGGTTGAAATAAAATTGATTTTACTCCTACCAGATATATGATGGATTTGTCCAATGGCGTTCTTTCCAAAACAGGGGGATGCCGCGATGCCCCACTCATTCCCATTCTATGGCCATCATGATGATCAAATAGGGAAAATTATGATCAAACCATAATATTACATGCAGGTTTCCTAAAATATGGCTAAACCATGGCTTTCCCCGGCAGCAATTTGGGATGATAGCTTGGGGTACCCATGAGTTAGGAAACTTCCAGATATGTCCAATACATCAATACATTTCTTCCAGTGATCGCTCTCCCATCTGGGTGCTGGGCCAGGGCTCGCAACGCCACCAACGTCTGATGTCCATCAGACCAGAGCTCAGTGACGGCGCGGCAAAACATAGTGATGGAACCAGGAACTTGGTTCTTCCGAATCATTCTTAGCATTTACCCAACTGGAAGCATTAACATCAACCAACATCCCAACATTAACCAACATTAACATCAACCAATTGGAAGCATTCAAAGCGATGCCAAAAAGGCGGTGTTGCACCCCGGATACGCCACTGTGATGGTCACGGCCATCCGTGTGCCACTGGTGTCCTAAAACAGGGGGATCTCCAGTCGTCACTGTCGTCACCGGTTTCAAATGGGTTAACCTATACGAAGTCAATACTAACTCTATACTAAGTCATGGTCATCCATAACTGGATGATTTAGGGTACCAGCCCTATTTGATGTTCCGCCCAAAGATGATCCGACAGGTACCGTGGCCCATCCTCACATCAATGAACATCTCTATATGTGTAGGCTGTTTGTAGAAAATCATCCCTCAAAGCCCCCAATTTTGATGGTCAGAATCCCAGGTTTTTTCAATGCGACAGCTGCGACATATTAAGATCTGAGGAGGTGACGACACTCACTGCATAGTTACCCACCTGAACCAATGCGGCAAATCACGTTGCAGTGAACTTGCCATGCTCAACGATGCTTAACAGACTTGTGTTTGTTCCAGCAAAACAATGGTGATGTTGAACATAGTGTTAGTAGCTGGAACTAATAGTTGAAAATCAATGTTAACAATAGTCCAGCAAAACATTAGTTGATGATTACTTTGACAGCAATGGTGACACTGATGTTGGTAGCGACAACAAACATGATCACCATGACCAATGACAATGTCAAAGACAACGATGATGATATGTTGATGATGAAGTATCATCATCATCAACAACAACATCATCATTATCATCATCAACATCACCAACATCATTACATCATCAACATAATAACATACTGTAATTAATAATGATTAAATTTCACACTGCTTGCAGTTGATCCTGCTTTTTCCAGGTTGTCATTATGTTTTGTCTGAACAAGTTGATGTCCAGCTTCGACATTGAACTTCAAATATTTGATTATGGCCGCGATGACGCATTTGTAAACGCTATGGCGTGTTCCCATGGCATCTACAATTGCACGTCTCAACTTTGTTTAACGGTTGTCAATGTGAGCTCTGCTCAGATTTGCACAGTCCCCTGGCTAGGACTACCGTCAAACCGAACATGTCTGGCAATATCCAACCATTTACTAGAAACCACTGCATTCCCCTCAGCGTAGCAAACTTCTGTTGAGACAGGGTTCGAACCGCAGGCCATAGGACATACTGGCGCCTCACAACCAGTCGCTTTGTACACGGTTAGACACCAGTAGACCGCTTCGGAGCAGCACCACACCTTCCCACCTTTTAAGACTTTGCACCTGTGCCAGAAGTAATCATTGTACTCTGAAGGACCAACAAGAATCTTTAGAAACAAACCAAGTTCAAGCACAAGAAAAAAAGTGTGTCCGTGTCCATTGAATACCGTGCATCCACGCCCAAACTCAAGTTATCATCGAAAAATTGAGACCTCCGATTCCAAAGAAGGGCGACCTTGATTGACTTCTCAAATGATGTGGAAGACATGGCCAAATGGGTCAAAATCCGGACGTCATAGGGAATCTAAGAAACAAGGCATGTCTCAATCTGCTACTACTGCTTCACTTTGACCAATCAACAAAATATGGTGGTATCAATAAGAAAAGGATAGAACAGGAACATAAAGGGATACAACAACGCAAGGGAACAATGGTACATCATGATACACCTATGTCATATGTCCCACCAAAGTCATCCAGCTTTCAGATCCCGAACCCAAATATCATCCACTAGATCATCCCAACAACCAAACTTCCATTCATGGCCCCCTGGAAATTTTGACCCATAGCAACGCCAAATCATTGCATTGTCCATGCACGTGCAGGGCACGCAGGTTGATACCGATGAGGCATCCGAATTGGCGCCGTGATATCACAGCGGAGCTACAGCAATGCTGGGATGATCCAACACTAAAGATCGTGGAAAGGCAATTCGGAAACCGCAGCCATATTATATCGAAAGATATCATACCAACCACTTGCTGTTTGTACATGTTGTTTTTTTTCCGGATCATCACTGTTGAATTTTGATGAACTGAGTCATGCAACAAACGCCCACTTAAAGGGAGCGCGAATTTCTCCCAAAATCTCCAGCTTTGGGCTCTTGAGGAACTGCCGATTGATCCAGCAGAATCCCTGAGCCACGGAAAGACCATTCGCGGTGTTAGAAATTGCTGCCCGCTCAGCGGCGCTTTGTCCATGCGGGGTTCGCCGAGGCTTTACCATGCGTATTACCATGCTTTACCCAGAATGCGGCGTTCTTTTTCTGCTTCCATGCAACCTTGGCTCGATGATCCCGTCAGCATGGCTGATCGGCTGATCTTGATTGGTAAACAAATAAACCATCAAATCAACAACTAAGGGACCTAGCGAAGGTTTGAATAGTCGGATGGGATGGTAGCTGGTAGCTGGAAACTGTTTTTAACTGTACGTCTTGTCAGAAGGTTGACTGACTAGCATGGTCATAAAGGTAGGGGATAATTTTTGCAAAGAAAGCATCGCAAGTCAAGTGTTTCCATGTGAGTCTGATGCACAAATTAGGGTCGTCCCCTATCGGTTATGAACCGCCATTTCACCGGTTGGAAAAGGAACCAGGGAAGTGTCAGCGGCAAAAGTTGACCGATTCCAGTGACAAGAGCCTGCGTTGAGCCGGTTCTCAAACAAATCACAGAAGATCAGAGCAGTGTGGGCCAGTATGGGTGTTTCGTGAAATGATCCTCAAAACCATGTTTGTTTTAATATGAACGTCTAATGAAAAAAATGAGGTGATTTGGGGTTGCGCCCTTTAGAATTCTTCATCCACCATCTGCCGGTCCAATAAGGGCGACGTCAAATCGGTGCGGCAAGGAGCTGATCTTAGCACGACCTGCAGCCAGGGATGGCCTGGCTAACCCTGGCTCCATCATCCATTTCTGGGAAAATTACCCTCTGGTTATGGGAAATGGCCCATTTATAAATAGATAACCAAATAGATGGTTTACCTATTCAAAATTAATGTCAATGGTTGGTGACTTTCCATGGCGAACTGTTAAATAACTGGATTGGTTCAATCTATTACTGGATTGCTTTGGAGGCTACCACCATTTCCACCACCCGGTTTTCCGATGTCCTCTTCCACCAGAGTTGGTTGATCAACCAGCTGGAACATAAGAAATAGCCCTTCAACAAATGCCGGTTGCTGGTTGACCTACCCCCCTAAAAAATATGAGTCAGATCAGTCAGATTGGATCATCACCCCAACTGGGGAAAATAAAATTCATGTTCCAAACCACCAACCAGAATGTATATAAGTTGATCGTTTTGTGTTTGCCACAGTAGACCATAGACTCATAGATCCCTTTATTGGGTACTCAAATACCAAGTTGGCCGGACTCATTAATGGGCGGTTCAGGTATTTATTGCACGTTGTGCCCTGTTGCCCAACCAAGTAACCCAGCCGGCTCACATGGATTTCAAATTAAGTCTCAAATGACAGGTAGAACAATGATATACTTCATATACAGATACACTAATTGAAAGAACATGACTGGGTAAATATAATATAAGTTATAACATGTTATAACCACGTGTAAGCAAGTTAAGTATTCAACAGTTACCCTCTGGTAAACCAACGTAACTATGGAAAATCACCATTTTTAATGGGTATATCCAATATAAATGGCAATTTTCAATAGCTATGTTAGCTTACCAGAGGGTATATTTTCAACAATGATCCTTCTATCATGACATTGCTATACCCTGTGACCTGGTGAGAGCAATGTCAGCGCTGCCCGTGCTGCTCGACGAACGCATGCCTGCTCCCAGTTGTAGCAACAACTTCAGCCCCAGTTGTACCATTTCACACGCACAAAATAAAAAAAATAAAACTAATGCATGATGACATACTGTACCTCGATGTCACCGTAAATTCCATTTGCAATACATGAGCGGCATAGGATGGCATAGGAATGTATAGGATATCGAAGAAAAATAAGGAGAAATAAGGAACATATGCTGCACTAGCTGGGTCGGTCGATTAAAGTATCAGGGATGGAAGGGTTATAGTGCTGATGCCATCTGTGAAATATCTTACTTGATGGGTTCAACCCTACCTTCCCCAACAAACAATGGCAACATGGATACCTCATGCCTTACAGTGCGTTCACTCACATCCCGCTCAATCATTCATCCTGTCAAAATGGGTCGCGTCCTGTCAGGTCTGTAATTTCAATCCTAAAACAACTTGGGATGGAAAAATCCAACCAAATATTCAGCATGCTTCAATTGCAACTCGTGATTTCGCCGCCGCAAACTGGTGGTGCGTGGACTGCAAGAGTTGCTGAACAAAAATGACATGTTTTGAAATGTGTTTTCTGTGTGAAACACAGTGAAACACCACAGTTTTAGCATCAAACATCTGGTGGACATATAAATGAAATAACATGATGATAATTCACCAAACACACACACACACATTACCACACACTCACGCACATTTCGGGATGGATTCGGGATGGTTTCCCTTTACTATATATAACTACTATAACCATGATTTCATATAGCGCTCGTTTTCCAACGTGGTTTTACCGAAGAGAAGTCCTCCGTCCTCCTGCCTCGGGGTCGTGCAAGCGCACATCCGTCAGGGCTGCCAAGGCAATCACATTGCCCTTCCCAGCCAGTGAGCCCAACACTTCCTTGGTGCCATGCGCCAAGATGACGGCTGGCATGAAGGAAATCCGCAGAAAAGGTGTTTTGCTGCGGAGAAAAAAACATATTGAGGTATGTAACGGTATATATAATACATATAGTACTAATGTGATAGATTGTGATAGTGATGATGCATAATTATGTAATGCATAATTATGTATATACATACATAAGCAAAACGCGGATAAACAATTGGGATTGAGCCAGAAAGAACATCTATATCACTATCAGAACATATTGAGAGGGTAGTAACCCTACTAACTACTAAGTTCAAACACGATAGTTTCATTGTGTTGTTCCCAGGCGATCTGAATAAATAACTATAAGAATGTAACATATACAGTATGTATATGTTTTGTATACAATCATATAGCATATATGATGGGACAGGGGTGGGTTGCTGGGTAAACCTTGGTTCAAACCGAAGCACTACAAGTCCACTGGGATGCACATCTTAAGCGCCCCGGCCGCGGCCGAGGTGTGTGATGGGTCACCCCGATGCGGGGCTTATGACAAATGCATTATTAAAAAAAACACAAAAGCGTAAGAACCTTAAAGATGTTAAAGTTAGACTTACTATATTACTGTATGCACGTATATATATATATAATTATGTATATATATATACATGTTTGCTGCCGTCCCAACAACCCACCATCCCTATTTTGCAGAGGACCACAGCGGCTCTCCGAACAGAACCTGGATCAGTTGGCCATGCAAAATTGCGATTTAATCAACAAGAAGCAGTGAAATCATGGATCGGTGAATCGAAAAATATGGCATTTTTTAATGGGAAATTCATGGACCAGCTGTATTTATTGTAAGTATGGCCCTATATATGTATATATATATAATATTATTGTCATTTAATCGATAAAGTTATGGGTGTATAAAACAAGCCATTTTATGGGTATATGTATATATGTTGTGGGATACGATAGGATGTAATGGGATATATATAATTATATATATATATATACCAGTAGTACCCGCACGAGGCGGGGCGGAAGTTGCCTTAAAGATATATATAAAAGACCTTTCTCATCTATAGAACTTGCATGCGCCGTGCGCCAGCCAAGCCCGTGCGTGCATGCATTCTTCGAAAGTGGTGTCCTGTTTCACATGTCACATTTGAAGCTCCTCTTCACACTTCACACTTGACAGTCTTCACACTCCACACTACACTCTTCACACTGCACTCTTCACACTGCACTCTTCGCACTTCACACTCCACACTCTTCACACTTCACACTTCACACTGCACTCTTCGCACTCCACACTTCACACTTCACACTTCACAGTCCACACTTCACACTTCTCACTTCTCATTGCTTTCTTCACACTCCACACTTCACACTGCACTCTTCACGCCCCACACTTCACACTGCACTCTTCACACTCCACACTTCATCTCATCTGAGCTCTTCTCACCTTATCCCAGCTCATCTCTTCTCATCTCATCTCTTTTCATATGTCACCCAAGCTTTCATGAATCACTTCCCAGTACTACTACTAAGGAACTTGCATGCGCCGTGCGCCAGCCAGGCCCGTGCGTGCGTGCTTTGTGCGAAGCTGTTGCAGTGCTGCTGTCCAAGAACATGACCTGCGCGCGACCCCGGTACAATGCAAACACTTTCCTCACACTTCACATTGCACTCTTGACACCCCACACTCCACACTTGCACTTCATCTCAACTCATCTCATCTGAGCTCTTCTCATCTCATTCCATGTCTTCCCATATGTCAGCCAAGTTCTTCTTGGCTATTTTTATGTCAAGTACTTCCCAGTACTGTATCTACTACAAAAGCTTGCAAAAACCACTTCCCAGTACTACTTTGTACTACAAAGCTTGCACAAAACACTTCCCAGTACTACTTTGTACTACAAAGCTTGCACAAAGCACTCCCCAGTACTACTTTGTACTACAAAGCTTGCACAAAGCACTTCCCAGTACTACTTTGTACTACAATTCTTGCACAAACACTTTCCAGTACTACTTTGTACTACAAAGCTTGCACAAAACACGTTCCAGTACCACTTTGTACTACAAAGCTTGTACAAAACACTGCCCAGTACTACTTTGTATTACAAAGCTTGCACAAAACGCGTTCCAGTACTACTTTGTACTACAAAGCTTGCACAAAGCAGTTCCCAGTACTACTTTGTACTACAAAGCTTGCACAAAACACTTCCCAGTACTACTTTGTATTACAAAGCTTGCACAAAACACGTTCCAGTACTACTTTGTACTACAGAGCTTGCACAAAGCACTTCCCAGTACTACTGTGCACTACAAAGCTTGCACAAAACACGTTCCAGTACTACTTTGTACTACAAAGCTTGCACAAAACACGTTCCAGTACTACTTTGTACTACAAAGCTTCTACACACATCAAGTTCTTTCGCAGAGAAGCTTTTACACACAGCAAGCTTTTCAAGCAGAGAAGCTTTTACACACAGAAGCTTTTACACACAACAAGCTTCTTCACAGAGAAGCTTTCACACACAGCAAGCGTTTACACACAGAACACTTACACACAGTGCTTTTACACATGGCAAGCGTTTACACACAGAAACTTTTACACAGAGACGCTTTTACACACAGAGAGGCTTTTACACACAGCAAGCTTTTACACACAAAATCTTTTCACACAGCAAGCTTTCAAACACAGCAAGCGTTCACACACAGAACACTTACACACAGTGCTTTTACACATGGCAAGCGTTTACACAGAAGCTTTTTAAACAGAGAAGCTTTTACACACAACAAGCTTTTACACAGAGAAGCTTTACACAGCAAGCTTTCACACACAGCAAGCTTCTTCACAGAGAAGCTTTTACACACAGCAAGCTTTCACACACAGCAAGCGTTTACACACAGAACGCTTACACACAGTGCCTTTTACACATGGCAAGCGTTTACACACACAGCAAGCTTTTTAAACAGAGAAGCTTTTACACACAACAAGCTTTTACACAGAGAAGCTTTTTTTACACACAGCAAGCTTTCACACACAGCAAGCGTTTACACACGGAACACTTACGCACAGTGCTTTTACACATTGCAAGCGTTTACACACACAGAAACTTTTACACAGAGACGCTTTTACAGAGAAGCTTTTACACACAGCAAGCTTTTACAGAAAAAGTTTTTGCACAGAGAAGCTTTCTTGTACATAATCACAACAGGAATTGCAGCTCCAAAACCGGATCTCGACGCCAAAGCGACAAAAAGACGATTTTGAAGCATTTTTTTAAAGGAATTTTAAAAGGAAAATTATTAGCGCCAAAACTGAGAAAATCTGCTGACAAATCACTTTCGCAGCCTTGATGCAGCCATTCCAATACGATTTACGATCTTCAGCTGGAAAAGACAATAGTATTACGCATGCAGCCGCTGCACCAAGCAACCTTGACGCAACCACTACAATGCGATCTGCAGAGACTGAGTTGCAAAACACAATAGAACTACGTGCAATGGCGTCGGAAATTGCAGCTCCAAAACCGGATCTCGACGCCAAAGCGACAAAAAGACGATTTTGAAGCACTTTTTAAAAGGAATTTTAAAAGGAAAATTATTAGCGCCAAAATTGAGAAAATCTGCTGACAAATCACTTTCGCAGCCTTGATGCAGCCATTCCAATACGATTTACGATCTTCAGCTGCAAAAGACAATAGTATTACGCATGCAGCCGCAGCACCAAGCAACCTTGACGCAGCCACTACAATGAATCTGCAGAGACTGAGTTGGAAACACAAAAGAACTGTGCAATGGCGTCGGAAATTGCAGCTCCAAAACCGGATCTCGACGCCAAAGCGACAAAAAGACGATTTTGAAGCACTTTTTAAAAGGAATTTTAAAAGGAAAATTATTAGCGCCAAAATTGAGAAAATCTGCTGACAAATCACTTTCGCAACCTGATGCAGCCATTCCAATGCGATTTACGCTGTTCAGCTGCAAAAGACAATAGTATCACGCATGCAGCCGCGGCACCGAGCAACCTTGACGCAGCCACTACAATGCGATCTGCAGAGACTGAGTTGCAAAACACAATAGAACTACGCACACAGGAGCAACCACTCTTTGCAAAACACATAGGAGGAACAATTCGCGACAGAAACGACCCCAGCCGCACCCGTCGCACAGACGAGGTACCTTTCATCGCCGGCTGCAGCCACTTTACACGGAAAAACACAAGGTTTCGTGCTCCGGCTTCCTCCCCAAAACATAGCCCATGCAACATTCATGCAGCCATTGCAATGCGATCAGCAACCACAGCTTCAAGAAACGCATAGAACTACGCACACAGGAACAACCACTCTTTGCAAAACACATAGGAGGAACAATTCGCGACAGAAACGACCCCAGCCGCACCCGTCGCACAGACGAGGTACCTTTCATCGCCGGCTGCAGCCACTTTACACGGAAAAACACAAGGTTTCGTGCTCCAGCTTCCTCCCCAAAACATAGCCCATGCAACATTCATGCAGCCATTACAATGCGTTTCGCAGCCCACAGCTTCAAAAAACGCATAGAACTACGCACACAGGAACAACCACTCGTTGCAAAACACATAGGAGGAACAATTCGCGACAGAAACGACCCCAGCCGCACCCGTCGCACAGACGAGCTACCTTTCATCGCCGGCTGCAGCCACTTTACACGGAAAAACACAAGGTTTCGTGCTCCAGCTTCCTCCCCAAAACATAGCCCATGCAACATTCATGCAGCCATTACAATGCGTTTCGCAGCCCGCAGCTTCAAGAAACGCATAGAACTACGCACGCAGGAACAACCACTCGTTGCAAAACACATAGGAGGAACAATTCGCGACAGAAACGACCCCAGCCGCACCCGTCGCACAGACGAGGTACCTTTCATCGCCGGCTGCAGCCACTTTACACGGAAAAACACAAGGTTTCGTGCTCCGGCTTCCTCCCCACAACATAGCCCATGTAACATTCATGCAACCATTCCAATGCGATCTGCAACCAGCGCTTCAAGAAACGCATAGAACTACGCACACAGGAACAACCATTTCTTGCAAAACACATAGGAGGAACGATTCGCGCACAAAACGACCCCAGCCGCACCCGTCGCACAGACGAGGTACCTTTCATCGCCGGCTGCAGCCACTTTACACGGAAAAACACAAGGTTTCGTGCTCCGGTTTCCTCCCCACAACAAAGTCCATGCAACATTGATGCAGCCATTACAATGCGATTTGCAAGCACAGATGCAAGAAACGCATAGAACTATGCACACAGGAACAACCACTCATTGCAGAACACAGAGGAGGAACCGATTGACCTCGAAACGATCCAAACCGCAACCGTCGCACACACGAGGTACCTTTCATCGCCGCCTGCAGGCACTTTACACGGAAAAACACAAGGTTTCGTGCTCCGGCTTCCTCCCCACAACATAGCCCATGCAACATTCATGCAGCCATTCCAATGCGATCTGCCACCACAGCTTCAAGAAACGCATAGAACTACGCACGCAGACACAACCACTCGTTGCAAAACACATAGGAGGAACAATTCGCGCACAAAACGACCGCAGCCGCACCCGTCGCACAGACGAGGTACCTTTCATCGTCGCCTGCAGCCACTTTACACGGAAAAACACAAGGTTTCGTGCTCCGGCTTCCTCCCCAAAACATAGCCCATGCAAGATCATGCAGCCATTCCAATGCGATCTGCAACCGGAGATTCCAAAACACACTATAACTACGCAGACACAAGCACACCCAAAGCAGCTTCAAGCCACCGTGACACTGCGGCAAAAAAAAAACGACCAACCGACCCCAGCCGCACCCGTCGCACACACGAGGTACCTTTCATCGCCGGCTGCAGCCACTTTACACGGAAAAACACAAGGTTTCGTGCTCCGGCTTCCTCCCCAACACAAAGCCCGTGCAACATTCATGCAGCCATTCCAATGCGATCTGCTACCACAGCTTCAAGAAACGCATAGAACTACGCACACAGGAACAACCACTCGTTGCAAAACACATAGGAGGAACAATTCGCGACAGAAACGACCGCAGCCGCAACCGCCGCACAGACGAGGTACCTTTCATCGCCGGCTGCAGCCACTTTACACGGAAAAACACAAGGTTTCGTGCTCCGGCTTCCTCCCCAAAACATAGCCCATGCAACATTTATGCAACAGAAGGTCATCACTTCCCTGTTTCACCACTTCCCTTCGTCACCTTCCCCTTCTCCACCACTTCCCTTCCTCACTACCTCCCTTCATCACCACTCCCCTTCTTCACCACTTCCCTTCTTCACCACTTCCCTTCCTCTCCACTTCCCTTCGTCACCACTCCCCTTCATCATCACTTCCCTTCGTCACCACTTCCCTACCTCACCACTTCCCTTCATCATCACTTCCCTTCGTCACCGCTTCCCTTCGTCACCACTCCCCTTCATCATCACTTCCCTTCGTCACCACTCCCCTTCCTCACCACTCCCCTTCATCATCACTTCCCTTCCTCTCCACTTCCCTTCGTCACCACTTCCCTTCCTCACCACTTCCTTCGTCACCACTCCCCTTCATCATCACTTCCTTCTTCTTCCCTTCTTCACCACTTCCCTTCCTCACCACTTCCCTTCGTCACCACTCCCCTTCATCATCACTTCCCTTCTTCACCACTTCCCTTCGTCACCACTCCCCTTCATCATCACTTCCCTTCGTCACCACTTCCCTTGGTCACCACTCCCTTCTTCATCACCATCACCACTTCCCTTCGTCGCCACTCCCCTTCATCATCACTTCCCTTCGTCACCACTTCCCTTCTTCACCACTTCCCTTCGTCACCACTTCCCTTCGTCACCACTTCCCTTCGTCACCACCCGTCATTATCACCACCCTTCATCAAAGTCAATTCCACTGCTTCTTATTCTTTTGTTATGTATTGTTATTGTCATGTATTGTTATGTGATCTACCACCCTGCAATGTATTGTTATGGGATCACCACCCTTCATCATTTTCTATTTGTCCGTAACACGGAAGTATTGCTTCCCAACTTCCTTTGATCATTGTAGCAATGGATGCATCGAAAGGCAAATATACCTGAAACCAGGATGTTAACCATTAAAAACAGGGGCTTCCAACCAAACCAAAAAAAACAATTCTGTGATGGCTAGAGTGGGGTGAACAAAATCATTCACATCACAATCCATCTCCCACAAATAGCTATGCAAATGGGTTATCAATCCCCAGTATATAAACATCACAAATCATTCAGTGAGGTAACGGTAGCATATCCCCATTTTCAACCAATCAAAAGTGGGGATTCTTGCCAAACATGTCGAAGAAAAGATCAATCAGCATCTACAAACAAGGAAAGCACGAATGGATGTGTCTGTATATCCTCTGGTAAACTAACATAACTATGGAAAATCACAATTTTTCATGGGAAAATCCACCATAAATTGCCATTTTCGATAGCTTTTTGTATGTTTACCAGAGGGTATCCTTGAGTATAGTAGGAGACCTTGGGCAGAAATTTGCAAGATCCCTGCGAAGACTTGGCCCTGGATCAATTTCCACAGCCGACGTGTAAAGCAATGACTGATCCCAATGCTTTCGAAGCATCACAATCAAAATTATCTCAAACTTTCATGTCCAAAATTATACCCAAACTTTAATCACATGCCAACACTTAACAACAAAAAACAAAAAAAGCATCAAACTCTGACCGAACTCAGAATCTGAGGAACGACTGTGATCTGCCAAATGAACCAAGAGGGTAGAGATGGTACTTGGATTGTTGTCTGCAATTTGTCCCAGCGCCCTCAAAGCGTCCTGCAGGGCGGCGAAGTTCGAAAAAAAACGATGAGGAAAAAAGAGGTGAAAACAAAGGCTGTGCGTAGCCACTGAAGAATGTGGGATGTTGGGATTGCACACCACTTAGAAATCAACTCTTATTATACAGATTATATATATATATGAAATATATATATATATACATGCAGTATATACAGTATATACATGTATATATATATAGTGATAAGCGATAATCAGTATACATAATATCCACTTGGACCAGCAAGGTAGTGACAAACCCACCGTTGGTATGCATTTGTTGATCTGTTTGCCTACTTGAATTGGTGATTTCGTCTCGTCACTTCGAATTGGCCAGGGATAAAAGCATGAACCATTTTTTTTTGAGCGATCATCTAGGCATGATTGATCCGCAACAAACAGTGCGAATGCTGAACATCTGATTTGGACATCTTTGAATGTTCACTATGGAAGACTTCGATGTCAATCCACCAAGACGTGCCAACCTTAGCAAAGCACAATGAGTTCATGTTGCAATCGTAGTTTAATGATAACGGATCAAGGTGCCACTGCAACCTGTAAACCACTGCGAAAAAACAAAACAATATGCAGGTCAATTGGAATCAGAATTCAAGGATATTCAAGGCAGGATGGAAGGCAGCAAGTTCTAAACCACCAGCCAACCATTCATAACTCACACATGGCATAGGGTCGGGTTAGCCAAAAAATGATGATTCACATCCCACTATGAGGATATGTGAGGAGCATTTGTGTAACATGTTTGGATATCTTTTGGATGATAGAGTCACAGGCTTTCCTTCCCAACCGTATCCCTATATCTGCTCATAAGCATCATCGCGACCAGGAGCTGCTCCGTCCGGGTCCTGCCGCACTTTACCTGAGCTGAATGCCGGAGCAAGAGTTTTAGGCCTTTAGTGGACCATTTGTAGTTTGACGCGTTCGATTGCTTGATCGGACCCCCCAAAAGGATAGAAAGTAAAAATCCAATTGTATACAGTGAGAAATCATGGTTCTACCTTTTTTTTTGTGAGAGTTTCTATATGTCTCTATAATACAGATTCAAGATACATGATTTGTTCTGGATAACAAAAACAGGACGACGCATCACCATGCATGACCATGCAGGACCATGATGAGAAATGAGAATCCTCATTGGTTCTGATGATGATGATGATGATGATGGTGGTGGTGGTGGTGGTGAAGGTGACGGTGATGATGGTGATGATGGTGATGATGGTGATGATGGTGATGATGGTGATGATGGTGATGATGGTGATGATGGTGATGATGGTGATGATGGTGATGATGGTGATTTTGAGACACACATGCAACATGAATAAACAAAAGCAATCAGCATGCTGAATATTGTGATTGTTTCAATGACGTATGTTTACCATGACTTCTCTGAGACCTCTCGTACGCATAAGCATGGTAGTGGTCATGATGACAATCACGATGAACCTGATGATCCTGATGGTCATGGTCATATATACTGGAATGCATATGTATGTGGGTTGGTACCCAGTATCATTGCCATCTCGGGAGTGCTTTTTATTTGGAGACACACCCAAACATCACATTATTGCTTATATATTCGATAAAATATCGCAAGTGTATCCCCAATCGATACTGTATGTAATTACTGTATATGTATACGCATTGTATATATATAAAGATAATATATTCCCCTATTTGTTGGCTATGGCTGCCACATCTTCAGACACACCCATGTAGTACAGGTTAATAGGAAGTCCTGTCATGGACCGGAGGTTGAAGCCACCGGACTTCCACTACTTGGCCCGTGTCCTTCCATTCTTAAGCCACTGGTGGATTGTATCTTTGAGGGATTGAAGAACTAAACCACATATAATCATCACCCAACAGAAGTTTTGACCACTCTTCATTTATGGCAATGGATTAATTTCTGCTAGACTATCCACCCAAGGTTTAGCCAACAAGTTACGAGAACAAGGCGGTGCCACATAGTTAGCAAAGTTGGTTTATAATTCAAATAATTTGGGATAATTTGGGTTTATGGAAAAATATATTACAGTACAGTAATATATATATACTGTATTTATATCTATAGTCAATGGGGGTTTACAAACCAACTTATCACTGGGAGGACACCTTGCGTTGAAATGTAAACCATATTTGCCATTCCAGCCCGGACTTGCAGAGTCTTACCGATCCTCAATGACAGCTGAAGCATATTTCAAATGATGGATGTAAACAATACACATAAATATAGAATTAGAAATATCTTATCCAGTTCAGTTACGATCCGCAGGTATTTTGCCCTTTTTCACAAATAAATGTGCAAACAATTTGTAAATATAATTATGCATATAAGACATAAATTAGATGTACATAATATCTATATATATATTGTTATGTATATATATGTATATTATGTATCTACAGAAAATAATGGTACAGTTCTCAATAAATATCAATCCTCGTTCCAACTCTTGTCCGTTAGTCAAATGACCCAAGTAGTGGAAGTCTGGTTGGTGGCTTCAACCTCCATGAATCAAAGTGATTTGTCTGAGAATGGGATATCTCGTATCCCTCAAAGATACAATCCACTAGTGGATTAAAAGTGGAAGGACATAAAATAGAGTTTTTTGGAATTGTTCTTCCATTTTGAAATTTAATTCATTATGTTCATCAGTTGGTTGTTCCATCACAAGTTTTCTACTAGCATTGGATTAAAAAAGAAAACATTACGATTTTAATAGGAAGCCAATGATTGACCAACTGAATTCAAGGGTGCCCCATGCTTGGACAAACCCAAATATGTCCCCGGGGATTACTCTCCCACATAGAAAAGACATCTTATTTCAAGCCACCAACAGGTACAGCAACCCTCAAAACGACATAGAAGGTTGAAGCCCAAAAATTAGCCTAAAGCAATAGGCACAATAATGCAAAAAAAAAAGACATCATATAAAACCAGGTTTCTATCTCTACATAACATCCATCTAAAAGAAATCCGTTGAGAAACATCTCCCGTGGCCACGTGGCACCATGGTGATCTGCCAAGCAACTCATTGGGTTAACCAAATGTCCACGAATCATGGCAAGCAGCGCCTGTTTCGAGGCGAATTGCGGCGAGGACCGGTGAAATATAGGTGGAATATAGAAAAAAAAGGTGAACCATGGTTAACCCATAATATGTACATCGAAATAGATGCATCCACTGGAGGTGGTAAAGAACACACACCTCTTCAAGAAATCATACAGATACTATACCATGTGGGTTTGTCCAAAATGGTGGGTACCCCGAACATTGCAATTTAGCAAAGAGGATACACATCGGACCGACATCGAATTTTGGGGTATCCTATTTTCAGACAACCTGCATTTGGGAGGTTTGACAAACCTCAAGAAAATCAAATGATTATTGGGTTTTACCGTACAGTACTCTTTTGACTGCGACTGTTACTGCAAACTTGCCAGCTGATCTTGCACCAACAAATCATCATCAGCGCAAGGCGTGTGCAATAGAGCAGGCTTACAGCATGCAGTCATTATCAGTATTTATATAACAAAACTATTGGATACCAAAAACGTGACCATACTGGCAATAAGATCTATATAGACTGGCTCAGAAGAACACGTCCCCCCTCGGAAGGTTCCCTCATGATTGACATCCATCTTAAAAGGTCTGCAACTGGAGTATAGCCCCAGGGCAAACCGTGGTATGTTATATATAAATTTATGCTATATATATATATTACAGTATATTACAATAAATAATAATATATGCTATACATATATATATATATTAGAACATATTATATATATATTATATCGTATATATATAATATTATATATATTACCATATATAATATTATGTATATTACATATTTCATCATATCTATTCCATAACTTGATATAGATATGACATATGTGGTATATTACGAGTTCAGCCCATCTATGGCACGCATCCCATCATCCCGCAATGGGACGCACAGCAGGCACGATAAATCATGACAAACATTCAGCCAATGGGTTAACATGAAACACCCAGCATTGGCATGAACATATACATTAATGTTCAGACTTCTTAAATCCTTTAGGATGCCATTTTTGGCAAATAATTTTTTTTAATGATTTATTTATGATTTGAATACGATTTCCATTTATGATTTTTTATGGGTTCAAATTGTGGTTATGATTTTTTTATGGTTTGGATATGTTTTTTTTATGGTTTTGGATATGTTTTTTTTATGATTTTTTTAATGGTTTTTTAGTCCTCAGAATCTGGTTTTCAGCTAAAAACTCGAGAAATTTTCGATTTTTTTATGATTTTGCTAGAGTTTCCTTTTCCCCAAAGCCTTTTCAGCAGAAAATTTGATTTTGGAAGCAAAATCGTAAAAAAATCGTAAATGCTTCCAAGGTCCCCAGAATCTGGTTTTCAGCTAAAAACTCGAGAAATTTTCGATTTTTTTATGATTTTGCTAGAATTTCTCTAAGAAAATCGTAAAAAAATCGTAAAAAAATCGTAAATGCATCCAAGGTCCCCAGAATCTGGTTTTCAGCTAAAAACTCGAGAAATTTTCGATTTTTTTATGATTTTGCTAGAGTTTCCTTTTCCCCAAAGCCTTTTCAGCAGAAAATTTGATTTTGGAAGCAAAATCGTAAAAAAATCGTAAATGCTTCCAAGGTCCCCAGAATTTGGTTTTCAGCTAAAAACTCGAGAAATTTTCGATTTTTTTACGATTATTTTACGATTTTCGTAGAATTTCCTCTTCCCTGAAGTCTTTTCCACCAGAAAATTTGATTTTTACAGAGAAACTCTAGCAAAATCACAAAAAAATCGAAAATTTATCGAGTTTTTAGCTGAAAACCAAATTCTGGGGACCTTGGATGCATTTACGATTTTTTTACGATTGTTTTACGATTTTGCTTCCAAAATCATTTTTTCTGCTCTGAAAAGGCTTTGGGGAAAAGGAAACTCTAGCAAAATCATTAAAAAAATCGAAAATTTCTCGAGTTTTTAGCTGAAAACGAGATTCTGGGGACCTTGGATGCATTTACGATTTTTTTACGATTTTTTTACGATTTTCCTAGAGAAACTCTAGCAAAATCATAAAAAACAATCGAAAATTTCTCGAGTTTTTAGCTGAAAACCAGATTCTGGGGACCTTGGATGCATTTACGATTTTTTTACGATTTTTTTACGATTTTCTTAGAGAAATTCTAGCAAAATCATAAAAAAATCAAAAATTTCTCGAGTTTTTAGCTGAAAACCAGATTCTGGGGACCTTGGATGCATTTACGATTTTTTTACGATTTTGCTTCCAAAATCAAATTTTCTGCTGAAAAGGCTTTGGGGAAAAGGAAACTCTAGCAAAATCATAAAAAAATCGAAAATTTCTCGAGTTTTTAGCTGAAAACCAGATTCTGAGGACTAAAAAAACCACAAAAAAATCATAAAAAAATCATATCCAAACCATAAAAAAATCATAACCACAATTTGAACCCATAAAAAAATCATAAATGGAAATCGTATTCAAATCATAAATAAATCATTAAAAAAAATTATTTTGAAACCCCTCCATCCTAGAGACTTAGGAACTCTGAACATTAATGGTTCTTAATGGTTCTGAAAAATGGTTGGTTCTTAATGGTTCTTAATGGTTCTTAATGGTTCTTAATGGTTCTTAATGGTTCTTAATGGTTCTTAATGGTTCTTAATGTGGTTTTTCCTCTTGCAATCCAGTGTTCCATTAAACACACAAGTGTTTTAGTGGTGAAGTTGGTGAAGTTGGTCAAGTTTCATGGGATGCATTGGTCAAGTTGGTCATCCATCCCATCATGGGAATCCCAATGGGTTGATCAAAATCACCAGTAATGGATTGATGACCATCCCGCAATATAGATTAATTTAGCTATACAATCCAACTTTTGACCCTTAAACACATATGACATATCGATTTATTTAATTTATAGATTATCTTCAGGTATCTTCTCATTGACGGATTTCCCACTGCCAGGTTGGTTGACAAATTTTGGGGTAAACCAACTTACCCAGTCTGAATGCGTGCAGTTGTGTTGCTATGCAAATGTGGTATACCACAAAATAGTCATTCAATATGAACATATGTATGTATATATATACATAATTATACATATGTATATATATATATGTATATATATATAAGACCATGAAATGTCCGGGTTTTCCCTTAATTTTCTGACAACCCCAGTTGTGTTGATCGAACACCCATTTTTTGGTTTCACCGGTTTCACCGAGCCTCGTTATACTGCACCAGCTGTTGTAAGACCTGGCGTGTGTGAAGTTGTCCCCAAGTTGTATGAGTTTTTTTTGGTTCACAAAGTATTGGTGACATCAGTTACATCATGTTAAAACTGATAAAAGAAAGTAGCTAGTATTCACCATATGATGACAATATGAGTGTATAGCTAATCATAAAGCCAATCACTAGCTGGCTCGTTATATTCTCACTTTATTGATTATATGTTTCACAATTTTCATCATACAAAACTTTCAATAATATGGATCATCATCCCCAATAGGATTGAACATCATTGAACAAACAAACCAAATGTTTGAAACATAACTTACTAGAAACCACCAACCAGACTAGTTCAAGTATGCAAACATGAACAAACCAATTCTTGATCTCGGACACCAGGTGTTCTGTATTGTTTACTTGGATATTAGAGGATATCATAGTGAAAGTGTGCCTACCAACCAGTGGCCGAGCTACAACTGCCTCGATAGTGGTAAGTTTTGGAGATTGACATACCAAACAAAAAAACTCCAAGACATGGTAGTAAATGTATGTGTATATATATATATATGCTATACATATATATTCTGTAGTGCAGAATAGAATGACCTTCAACCAACCGGGGGCAACTGGCATGATTCAAGCGGTGGGGAACAATTTGTCAGGCATCATGGCCGTTAAGGCTGGTCTGAGGTCCCTGTCGTTCACTCGCATCCAGAGCAAAAAAACCCTCTGGATCCCTCTGGTAATCAAACGTGGCAAATCGGGAAATCGGGAAATCTCCGGGTTCATCCGGAATTAAAGGAGTTTTCAATGCCATCTAATGGGAAATTGGGAATTCAACATCATTTACGGAGAACAATCCCGGTATTCATTTCAATGGGAAAAATCATCTATAAATTGGAGAAATTTCCATTGCCACCGATTCCCGGAGGGAAAGTTATCATCATATCATCCCATAGGACGATGTTGCTGGGAATCTGGTGAACTAATGAAGCCATACCTGACCCAAATTGACAACTTTGAGGTTATATTATGTTATATTAACTTGTAATTAGAAGGTTAACCCCCATTGCTTCTGGTTCAGGAGCCTGCCAAATGGAGCTTATACATAGGATAAAATTGGTCGGGCTTATCCCATTCTGAAGGCCACATATGGATTGGTGATGCTCAACATGACTCAACATGTGGCCCAATCATACCATCACAAGCATTACCCGTTATTAACTGGGGGGTCATAAAACATCAACCATCCAGAAATTCAGATTCATTATTGTGCATACCAGGCAACAAATGGGATGATTTATCATAGACCCCAAATGGTATTGGTGCTGGTGACTAAGAGGTTTCCTAAAGTAGTGACAGCGCAAAGAGATTTTATTTCTTCCGGTTCAATTTATGTCACTTTTCTAAATGTGTTCCACACATCTTTTTTTAATTTTATATGTGTTTTCCCATGTTTTTTTCCCGCGATTTTCATGGGATCCCAGGTCACTAGATGTCACTAGGACGGACATCCCGCCCCAGCGTCGCCCCAGTCGCCTCCAGTGCGGCTTTGCGCACATCTCCCGACAGATCAGCCAAACGCCCGGCAACGGCCTGGTTTTTCCCCAGGGGTTTTATAAAGCTGCCAATGGATCCGCCAGTGACCATGGTCTACTAGGGGATTCATATGTATATATTATATATATAATATTTTATATATTTTCTATTATATGTATATATAACAATGTGCATATATAGAATATGTACTAAATAATACGTATATATGTATATATATATATATATACATGTAATTATATATGCATACACATATGATTACATCTGTATACTGTATAATATACGTTTGGGACCATTTATGGTGAGCTGAATATGAAGGGTATGGGATTGCCGTGGAACAGATCAACCCAAGATGTCTGGGCATTATAGCCACTCTCCTCTGGACACAAACAGGAAATTCCCAAAAGCCGAAGTAGCAAATGACGTCCCTCTTGGAAATGGCAAAACATCTCTTGTTCTTCAATATGGGTATGGGTCAATACCTATAGATACATTTTTAGTGGGATGAACATCCATTTACCAGCTATTTTGGGGTTCACTAGGTACCAGGGTTTTGACCCATCCCCATATGCTCAGGTGTTTTTTTTAATGACATCCAGGGCACCACCAGCACATCACTGTCCGGCAAGGCCAATTGTCCGAGCGAAATCACGGAGGCGAGACCTCAACAAGACGTTCAATATACCCTCTGAGGCCCGCTGGTTATTTAACATAGCTATGAACAAATGACCCATTTATAGATGAATTTTCCATAGCTACATATTACATGAATTGCCAGAGGGCATGACAGACCCTGGGAAGTGGTATGAAGTGGTGAAGTGGGGCATTAACCAACAAGATATCACAGTTGTGGCCCAGGGCTGCAGAACTACGACGTAACTTCAGAGACTTCAGGCACCAGCCACAGCCATAGTCCAAGCTTTAAGACATGGTGAGGTTTTGCCGTCGAGCTGCCCAAACCCTGAAGGACCATTCGATCAGTGTTTCACATTCTCTACCTGACTACTACAGGATACCAAAGATTGTTTCGAAGCCCTGTTTTAGTTGCAATGTAGACATAAACATTCCCTTCAAAGGTAATGTTATCTCCAAGCTACCCCAAAATCCTATGATGTGTAGCAGTTTGTTTCCCCAAATTCTCCAGTCCTTTTTTAAATCAAAAGGCCAAATTCATTGGCTCCGACTACAATTCCCAAGCAATTCTTGGGATGATCACCGTAACCCAACTTAAATTTCCCGGAGCTACGGCATTCCAGTGATTTTCGTTACTGGCTTAGTTGCGAACAACCCCCATATTTTAGGTATGACCAGTGATGGAAAACTTATCTTCATCCCCAGTGAAACTCTTACATACTATTACTATTTACATCTATTTACCCCAATGAACATGTAAAAATAGAACAAGAAATAGGTAACCCTCAGCATTACTATTACATACTACTACTAGTACTGGTACTATTACTATCACTATTTCCCCCAATGAACATCAACTAACTATAGATAAATAGTTGTAGAATACCTATCGTTAATTATATACATCATTTACTTTTACATACTATAGTAATTGTTCTATCAACATCTATTAACTATAAGCCAAGTATTATTGACTAACAACTATCAACTGCAAACACTATCAATTAAGTACTAATTACTAATGAAGTTCTATATAAATCTATATATACTAATAACCTAAGTATACCTAAGTACCATAACAAATTAACAACAACAACTATTTACTATTAACTATGAACTGCAGGTCCAACCCTCAATGAACGAACTATCGCTTCGTCCAGCAAGCGACGAACCGCGGCAGCTTCGTCTAGCAAGGACTTGGCAACAGCCTCATTCGTTGCGCCGTGAATCGAATCGAGAAACATGGTTCACATGGGATTCAGTGGTTAATATCCTGTGAATATTAATGGTTAATATATATATATAGATATGATGATGATTAATGATGGTTAATAATAATCTGGTTGGTGGCTGACCTACCCCTCTGAAAAATATGAGTTCGTCAATGGGAAGGATTATCCCATATATTATGGAACATAAGAAATATTTGAAACCACCAACCAGATGATATTTATGATAGCTAAGTTGCTTTCGTTCACTACAATGACGCAGGTTGATTAGGGAGACATCTCGAACTAGATGAGGTGAAAGCCAGACCATAACTACGCGGCCCCACTGTGTAATCATAAAAAGGTACTTTGAAGATAACTAAACATTCTGCTGTCACCACAGTTTGTTTTGACCTTTGGGATCTTTGTGGATTTTTGTGGAACAGTATGGATGTTTACGGATATGGTACTTATCTTATTGCTGTCGCAGGTCGTCAAACAATCCTTCTGGCGGTGTTTATTTGCTTCAAACTTTTTGACCAGACCCATCTGGCAAGAATGTATGAGGACCAACTGGATACAGTAAAATGCACATGTCAGGGGATGCGTTTGAGTCACAATATATATATATATGTCAAATATGCCAATGCAGTCTGGAACGAAGGTAGAGTATCCCAATCTGATAAAAAACACATCACAGACAGCAGACCACTTTCATTCTCAAGATATATGATTCTTTGTGAATGCTTGGCCCCCCGGAAGGCCCTGGTAGCCATCCAGACTTGCTGATGTCAAGCAGCAGAAGAGACAAAGTCGTCACCTCTCTTCGCCATCTCTCCCAATGCTCGAACTGATGCAACACGCACCTGGCAATCGCTGGTGTGACAAGATTGCAAGCTACAAGCAGAATAACCTGCTGGTGTCTATGCCGTGCAGTTTTATATGCGCAAAACAATAGTAAACAAAAGTAAACTATACATCATGGCATGATGGCACGGATATTTTCAAACGAGATATGGACCTTGCCATACAGGCAGGGCTGCACTGTGCCCAAATTTTAACGCACCATGGCCACACTTCCAGTGCACCTGCCATTGAGGATCCTCTAAGCAAGTTACCAATGCCTGAGAGTTCAGCGTGTGAAGGGGAACGCATTTGCACTTGGGTGACTAACACTCTTTGGCAGCGCCACACAGCATTAAATCTCATACAGCTGGGCGATGAGCTGAGCCAAGAGTTCATCAACCCCAAATGGCGGATGTCTTCGAAAACATGAAATAATCATCAACAACCAACTCCTAAACGCTTCTCTATATAAATAATAATATGTGTATGTGTGTGTATATATATATATATATACGTAGTTGAACTCCTAAATGCTGCTATATAGTTTGGAGATGGAGAATGTTCATGATCTTCGCTGAGTCCTTCCAAGTTCCCATTGCCCAAAAAAGAGGCCAAGATAGTTGACCCAAATTAGCAGCCAGGAGACGCACATGGATGGAACATCCTGCCCGGTTGCGCCACATGATTCAAACATATTCAAAATATGCTGTCAGTATACACCGTAAACACCTCACTTCTCGAAAACTGAAACCAATTTCTTTTCAAGCTGCATTACATTTGCTTTACCACACTGTCTATTGGTTTGTCGCTGTTTGCCTTTGCCCCCACAAAACTTGGCGGTCAGTTTGATCCCCATGGTTTATTGGCTCAAATCCCAAGTGTTGTCTGGCTTACACAACTTAACCCCCTATTATCTTGGGGGATCAGGTGAAATGTTCATTGCTCCTCGTTAATTTTTGTTAAACCAAATCAAATCGAACCCTTTCTCTGTTAGATCAAGCTAAACCCGAATTATATTCTAATGCTTAGATCATATCAAATAAACATGTTTGCTGGCGGCATCACCATGTTTGCTTGCTTAAATTAGGAAACATGCTTGCTAATGGGGAAGTCCAGTTCATAGATACTATGATACTGCCCAATACAGATTGGGGTAGGTTAGATCGCTTACAAAATCACAACTCATCAATATCAACTAAATACCATCTAAATTCCACAATATCATCATGTGTTTTTGGTGCTTGGTGTGGATGCATGGCTACGGATCAAAAACTATAAATACAATTCTCAGCGGGGTGAAAATCCATAAACCTCAACTATGGTGAAATCTTTTGTGCCATGTATGATATTGATAGTGACGATAAGAATGTGAAACACAAAATATTCAGTGATATCACCGCATTTAATCCTATTTTATAGTGATTGTTCTTTTTGGGAAAACATCATGAGATCCCCATATAAACATATAGAAACAGCAGTACTGTTCTTTAAGTGATACTGTGGATGGCTGCGAAATCCTGCCACCAAAAGGATTGTTGCAACCCCAAGCAATGGGATGTTGACCACCGATCAAAGGGTGAAATCACCACATCTTCGATGCGCCTGTGGAGAGCCCAGCCACCGCAAGGTGCCGACCGCGGCGCGACGAATGCCCAAACAGCGGTGTCGCAGGCAGCGCCGGGTGGCCTGCGACCGGTGAAGCTGATGTAAGATGGGATTATATGAAGGTCCTGCAGTTACCCTCTGGTAAACTAACATAACTATGGAAAATCACCATCTTTAATGGGTAAGTCCACTATAAATGGCCATTTTAAATAGCTATGTTAGTTTACCAGAGGGTACACTAGGGAATATATTTTATAGTAAATCCAGAGAAATCTTCATCTACGTAAGGGATTTATTGGGATCATATGGGATTTAATGGGATGTTCAGCACCCACAAGTGGTGATTTAATGGCAACCAACCAAACAATTGATGATACCCTCTCTGGTAAACTAACAGTTTGCGAACTGGTAAATCATGTTTTTAAATAGCAACATCAACTATCCACGGCCTAGTTTCGATAGTTATGTGAAATTACCAGAAGGTATGTAACATGAAGGCAACATAATTATGAGTGTAATATATATATATATATACATACATACAGTACAGTACATATCCCCAAATAGGATATCCCCATATCCACTGGTTAATCATCATTTTCCCTATGAAAATGGCAACTTGGATTCATTTGGGGGGTATGCCTCATTTTGAGACACCCAAATACCACATTGTTGGTTCTTTGTATCATATCAAATCCCTGATGGTCCAAACAAACAAAGGATAAAAACACTGAATCACCATTTCAAAAGTTGAAATTTTCCAGTAAATTACCAGAGTGTAGACACAAGACCAAAGCTTAGTTTTACATACTACTATTATATAATGTATCTAACCATAGTTGCAGAGGTTGTTCCATGGGGTTCCTTTTTAATGGGGGATCAGTGGGATCCCCAAGTCACGACTTAGGGCCACCTCCACTCGGGGTTGTCTGAAAATGGAGGATTTCACTAATGTCACCCGACCAGTTGTGAACATGGAAATAGGGATACCATCTGGTTATTTAACATAGCCATGGAAAATCACCATTTTTAATAGGTAAACCATCTATAAATGGGCCATTTTCCATGGCTATGTTGAATAACCAGAGGATATATAAGTATTTTTCAAAACAATATTTTGCAGGAGACTTCCATATATGGATTGATGGTTGTCGGTTCATAGTTATCCTTATTATGGCTGGTAACAAATCGCAAAAACCAGGCAGTATAGCCTCGTTTAATGATATCACGGTGAATCTTAGATTCTTATATACCTGCCAACAACTCCAATTCTTAGTTGGTTAGTACATCTTTCATTATCTTCACATTGATAGCAAAAGATACTCTAGTACTAGTTAGTATCTAACAAAGGTTGACCCGATCAACAGTGTTCACTGTGGATCGAACTAGTATTCACTGTGGAAACACTAGTATCACATAGTATCACTATATGGTGGTTTCCTAAGTCATAGGGCTACCTCCAGATCATCCATTTTGGATTGGGATTTTCCATGAAATAAACCATCTTCTTAGGAAGTGTTTGGGATATAATTTACTATAGTTTTGAGGGTTAAGTACCTTTTCAGACAGTGGCCATGGATCCATAGGGCATTATAAACCATCCATTTTCGGAAACCTCCGTAAAGTAATGATGGCCTCCAACGCCCTGCCGGTGCAGCTGGGCGAATGCCACCAGCGGTCTGGAGCACAGAGCCATCCCAGGGCGCGCAGCGCGAACTGCGCGAAGTTTTTGCGCAAGCCATTGGGGATGGAAGGAGGTCAGCCAGTTACATTTAGTAAGTTTATGGTATTTATGATATAGATATCTATGTTTATGATATAGTTTTTGGTAACCATTTATATATATATATATATATGTATATATCAAACTGGTTTATCTAATTAAGTGATATATATATATATAATTATGGTATTATGATATACCACTTTGATATATATATACATATATATTAGAATGATATGTTACTACTTCAGGTGTATATATATATATTTATGTAATATGTATAAATTGGACTATATATACATGTAATATATAAATGTGTATGTATATATATATATGTTAATATTATATATGATATTGAAAATCATCATACTGTAAATGGTTTGATCATTTACAAAAGGTTGTGATACAGTTACTACCTGGGATTTTTCAATCCAAGTAATCCAAGTACCCACCACCATGATACAGCAGCAGAAACCAGGAGTTCATCAACCCATGACCCAGGTCTGAGGGCTCGAAATGAGTTACGCCAGGTCTGTCTGATATCCAATCTCCACGAAATATCAATGGCGTCCAATGGTGAAAAACGTGTGAAACCAGGTTCAGGGACCGTCCCTCCCAACGTACATTTAGTCATTTATATAACAAATAACACCATCAAATTTTTGGAACGTTGCAATGTTTGCCACTGGAGGGTAACTCCACCATTTGACTGCTTTGATCCATACTTTTGTTAGTCAAACCTCAAGTTGTACTGCTTAAATCCCCTTTGTCGGTGGTTTTAGCCTGACAAAACAAAAAGCACGCAGTGATTGGGAATCAGCATCCCAACGGCCCAAAGGTAGAATTCGACTTTTGGGTTGGTCGTCAATCCCGCAGAAACTCCCAGCTTCTTGTCGTCCTGGAATTCCAGAAATAGCCATGGTATGCCATGGTAAACCATGGTTCCCAGCATTTCTTCTGCTAGGATTCTTCACTACACTGTGGATGGGGGCAGGAAACGTCCTGCAGTTGAAACGCTTTAAATCATGGGATCCTCATGACATTTCTGTATGGGAATAGGCTATATTCATCTATATATATATATGGTCCCGTCCTCCGTCTCTCCACCCCCCCCCCCCATGGGTTGGGTCCCCAGGTAGTAGCCCCAATTCCCTTCTATTTGCAAGCTATTGGCAGCATTTCTGAGGTCCAGCGTCGTATTTGCTAGGTCTTTGCAGCATTTCTGACTACCAGCCTCGCATTTACTAGGTACATGCTACCTTTTAGGCGACCTACGTAGCACACATACTCCTTCAAAGTACCTACGTGCTACCTATAGTCATACATACATGTGCTATGTATCTACTGTATCTACTTCCTGTTTACTACCTGTGTACTCTGACAACACTACCTCTGTTGAACATATACCGTACCTACCATACATGTCAATGATGCCATGCATACCATACCTATCATATCTATCATACATACCATACATACCATACATATGAAATGTAATTACCACACCTACCATACATACAATAGCATACATACAATAGCAAGCATACATGCCATACATACCATACCTACCTTAGATAGGACATATTCCATACCCATCATAGTAACCATACATACCATACAGACCATACATACTGTCATATCAAACATACCATATCCAACAGACTTACATACCATACCTACCATCCATACAATACCAACCACTCATGCCATACATACCATACCTACCATACATACCAAACATACCATACTTTCCAAACATGCCATACCAGACCGACCATACACACCATACATACCCACCATACCATACCACACCCCCACCACACCACAGGGGGGGGAGGGGGACAGTGCCACACCCCCACCACACCACAGGGGGGGAGGGGGAAGATCTCATATGGGACCAGTATATGGGACCCATCCACCACACCACAGGGGGGGGAGGGGGACAGTGCCACACCCCCACCACACCACAGGGGGGGGAGGGGGAAGATCTCATATGGGACCAGTATATGGGACCCATCCACCACACCACAGGGGGGGGAGGGGGACAGTGCCACACCCCCACCACACCACAGGGGGGGAGGGGGAAGATCTCATATGGGACCAGTATATGGGACCCATCCCATATGGGGGGGGGAGGGGGGGGGTGGCAGGGCCTGGTGCATATATATACACAATTATATTATAGATGTACCCAAAAAACAACATCATATTGTATTCATAGTACATCTGTATGAGGCTTTCCTAAGTCATAGGGGTCCCCCCAGTTCTCATCCATTTTAGCTTAGGATTCTCCATGGGATAAGCCATCCAGCTCTTGGGTACCCCATGGTTCCAGGCCATGGCCCTGTGCCTTTCGCCCCTGCGCGGATCCGTTGCGGCTCAGCTGGCAGAGGCGCCTGACCAGCTCGTGGCTGGCAGTCTGAGCTCGGGAGCTGCATCGAAGATTCGCAAGGCCAGAGAAACTCAGAAAAGCCTGGCATCTGGGGGATAAAAACCAGTGATTCACCAGGAGTGATTCTGGTAAGATATTGGTTTTGGTGATCGGTTGATCGGTTGATGATTGATGAAGGATCATACTACCCGGATTTTGAACGTGGATTCACATGGATTCACCGGGATTCATTCATGGTGCTTGACAATGGATGATATAAGCAACACATCACGGGAACTTAAAGCATCAATGTAGGGATTTTATGCGACATTAGTGATTTTTGTGGGATAAATGGAAGATCAATGGAAGATCAATGGGGAAGATCAATCAAATCTTACACAATGTAATGGTATAGTATGGGGTATGTCTGAAAATTGGGGTTTACTCAACAACAAATTTTTAAGGGTTTTTTGAGCAGATTCAATGGGGATTTAAATAATGGGATATATAACCAACCATACAGATACGTTGTTTTTTCCCTGTTTTGTGGGGTACCAATATGTAGTAATGGGGAATGGGTGAATTGTATACCAAAAGTGGTGACAATTGGTAGACGTAACGGAGATATAATTGGGTGAAGCGTCAATGCTTTATAGTCAATTTATGCAAAATAATGGGTGCATTGCACCGACATTATGTGGATGTACTTGGGGATATGATATGCTGGAATTAAAATTGGGATTTAATGGGGTAAGTATACAACCAACAGTATGGTGGTGCCCAATATTGAGATAAGTTGGTGCATAACTAATCTTTTAATATAGGGTTTATGGTGGATATCTATAGCTAATTGGGGTTAAACCAACACACATCAGCAGGAAACACTGCACATTCTATAGATCCAATAGGACAATCTTCCTCCAACGTTTGAGGCTTCGATAATGACAATTTTCACTCAAAGCCACCTCCAAGCCCACCTGCCACTCAACGATGTCAATATCTTCCAGTGTCAGGCACCCCATGTGGCGCGTCCCCAGAGGTGCTTCCACACGTTTTTTTTTTTTTTCGCCCCCCGATTTTGGCTGTGTGTTTGAGAATGACATTCTGCCCGGAGTCGATGTTTTTGTTTAGTATTTTTTTTGTTATGTGTCTGCAAGTGGAAACATGTATGTCTATATACACACATATATATACACACTTTTTTGGCTCTGGCGCACTGAAAAATATATATATATATTATATATTTATATATACATACTTATATATATATATTAAAATTATATATACATGGGGATGAGTGTGGAGGTTCGAAGACTTCAAAGGGGATTTCTTGGATTTAGAGGAGGCTTGTGGATGTATCACTTTCCGCCTGGCCAAATCATGATGACGGGTCCGAGCCTCAAGCTGCATCCACCATGCATAGATCACTGCCAGGAATCCATTCATCGATTGTTAAAGTGGCAAGCCGAATAACACTAACAAATTATCCCCACCAGAAATGGATGGTCATCAAATGTCATCAAAACCTTCCCTGAAATGGAAGGTTTATTGTTGTTATTTTTGTTTACCACATTATAGTAGAATCGTGTCCCTAAGTCTGACCAATTAATGGCATCTACGAGTACCAGCATGTGTGGTTTGATTCAACCAGCTCAACACACGTCAAGGACGAAGGGCCGAAGGGTTGGAAAAAGAACTATAAACATATTCCCCCCAATGCATCAAAACTGATATCCCATCTTTGGATACAGATTCCATTAATTATATTACTGTAGGTGATACCCTCTGGTAAACTAACATAGCTATGGAAAATCACCATTTTTAATGGGAAAATCCATTATAAATAGCCATTTCCAATAGCTATTTTGACATAACCAGAGGGTATCTACTGATAATTCGGTGAATAAAAGTTCCAATTCAACCAGTTCCCCTTTGCTCAGTGAGGTGTCCTCCCAACAGGATCCCTGCGGACCGGATCCACCGGATCCATCCGGATCCACCTGCTCGAGAGATTTGGCCTTGAGCGTCAAGTCCCCTCGGATTTTCTCCTGGTCTCGGAGAATCGAGCCTACTTGGTGCAGGCCCAAGGGTGATTTTGATGGTTAGAACATGGAAAAAAACATATTCCAATCCCCATAAATTTGGGCGCAAAAAACACGTTTTAGAATGGTTATCTGGTTGGTGGTGCGATAACCATCTTGAAAAATATGAAAGTCAATGGGAAGGATTATCCCATATATTATGGAAAATAAGACATGTTCCAAACCACCAACCAGTTACGTATCCACTTACAACTGGAGCACCCCAAAGCAGGGATCAAATCTGTTCTTTTGGGAATGGTCGCTTTTACCGGCCTGGTACAATAGTCATTTTATTGTGGGCTTTATCATCTCTTAACCAACTATATTGTTGGCGTGCCTTTTAAACCTACAATATCCAGTATCTAAGAAACAAGCAGGAAAAGGACATCAATGGAACACAAACAGATAAAGATCATGTACAGTAAATGTTCCCTTCATCCAATGATTTACAGCACAGAATGATGGAAATGAACAACGGTGAAAAAATGGTGCAGTTAGCAAAAAAGGCTAAACAAATCAAGTTCTAATTATTTATGATCTATAGATCTATAGATGATCTAATACGCGCAAACATAAGATCTACAGTAATATGTTCTACTAGACTATTGTTCTATATTGTTCTACTGAAGCTGATGTCTGGTCGTCATATCGGTTCACCAACGGTTGGGAAATTGCCAACGAATTGTGGTTCACCCTACCATCCTGGGCAAGAATATGTGCGAGTCATTGCCACAATTGGAGATGGTCATCACATTGGAGGGAATAAAAACAGTGTTTGAAACCATCTATACTGGCGATCAGTGGATGTATCATGATGTATCAGTGATACATCCAATGTATCCCCACCTGGCAAATCTCTGTCTTTAGTGGTTAAACATGCATTAAACAGTTAAACTGTTTCCATGTTCAAACCTCGGATAAACATATCAGGTGCAGTTCCATAGATCCACGACGCCTGGTCGATCTTGATCTCTCCTGTCATCTCATCCACCTGGTCAAGTCCGGCTTCAACATCTTATGGCTTCAAGCAACAAGGCCATGGGGCACCAATATGCACCAATGAGATGTAAAACTAACAATCTAGTACAATCTCATATTTGGGTGTGTCTGAACATCGGGCATTTACTGTATATGAAATTATATGGATTTAGCCCAACATGACCATTGTTGCAGGAAAAATACGATTAACCAAACCAATGAATCTTCGTATTTTTTTTCCGGATAAACCATGAGAAACCGAACCGGGGTGCCCTTTAGGACCACACATGGTAATTCCGAGATTTCAGGATTGTTGAAGATCCATCATTGTTTGCTTTTAAATGATTGGGGCTTCAAAAGGTTTGGACATGTTTGGACTATGTCAAACAAAGCAACGCATTTACAGGAAACACCCAGGAGTGAACGTATTTGTTGCAGATGTGTGACACATACAGAAAGAAAAAACAACAACATAGCCACCTTGGAGCCTCTGGCTATGGCTATGCCTCAAACATAGTCATGACCCCCAAAGTGGATTGCTCAAATATACTGCACTAAACATGACCAACATATACCAGAGCTGTGAATCCATTGGTCCCCCAATTTTGATCTCAAATGACGGGCTTTCTCACATCTCTCCCCAACTTTGATCTCAAATGTCGGGCTTTCTCAAATCATTCCAGCGTGTCCAATCGTGGATGCCCTATAATGAACAAATCACGTTGTTTCTGGTTACTGTATGTTACTGTAGTATATTTACATATTTGCATAATTACGTGCATTGCCCATCCAAAGGTAGACCCTGCCAGCTAAACCAGCAATGCTTGTGAAGTGGTGAACTGATGTCTGCGGTTCCGGGCGCACAATGCCTGGGCCGCACAGGTTACCCACAAAGCCAAATAGGACATGGCGGGTATAGAATTGGCAGTCATGATATTAAGGTAATGTTCCGTCCTAATTCGTGTGTACCCCCCCCAAACAAATGCTCAAATGCTATACCTCTTTAAACTTGAAATTTTAAAAACCGTTCCCCAGAAAAAATACGATCCTACATTTAATTTAAGTAAGGATTGGCGACAATTTAAATCTAAGTAATTAAAACTTGTTTTTTTGCCGATGAACTTGTGATATTTGTAGTACTTGTGGTACTGGTAGCTCTACAAGAAATGCTAACTATTAAATCTGATGACGTTGTAGTACTTGTAGTACTTGTAGTGAGTGGGGTTCAGCATGTTGATTGCGCTACTTTTGCACCTTAAGTTTTTTCCCCCTAAACATGTATAAGATAAAGAGGAAGAGGAAGAGAAAGAGAAAGAGAGAAACAAAAAGCGAAAGAGAGAGAGAGAGAGCGAGAGAGAGAGAGAGAGACAGAGTGAGAGAGAGAGGGAAAGAGGAAGAGGAAGAGGAAAAGGAAGATAAAGAGAGGGGGAGAGAGAGAGAGAGAGACAGAGAGAGAGAGAGAGAGAGAGAGTGAGAGAAAGGAAGAGGAAAAGGAAAAGGAAGAGAAAGAGAGAACGAGAAAGAGAGAAAGAGAAACATATAAAACCAGAAAGCAAGAAAAAACAGAGAAAAAGAAAAAGAGAAAGATGAAGAGGAAAAGAAAGAGAAAGAGAAGGTTGCTTTTGTAAAAGGTTGTTCTTTCTTTTCTTGACTCCAGGATGACCTCCGGAAAAGTTTGCTGTATTTTGCTGTAATTCTGAACCTAGGCAACAAACCTACCAGAGTGAATTGGCTCCTCTCATGGTCCAGCGCCCTGGACATGTGTGGAAAAGATGTTTTTAATAAGGGATAAGGGTTTAATAAGCGATCTGATCCTTCGGGAAAGGCAGACAAGCAATAGTTTTCCAGAAAGAATGTTTAGATCTTTTTCACACACACATTTCTTTTGACAAACAAAATGGTCTGGCAAGAATTCTTGCCACAATAGTGAAACTTCCAAACATATCATGGGTTCAGAATAATGTTGATTTGCTCAGCAACAATAGAGAACCTAGCTACGAATCAGGATGCAACATTATATTGAGTGATATTAAACATTATTAAATTATTAAGCTATATAAAAGCAACCTAGTAAACGTATCAAAGATTCAAAGTGTCAGACACCTCCAAGACCAAATCCAGAAAAAAAAACGAGGTTAAGTGAGGACAAATTTGATGAAGCAGAAACTGAAAGAAGAGGCAAGGAGCTTGCATTGGATTGCCCAACACAAAAAGTTGCCATTCCGAGATCTTAAACTTTGAGACAACCCTCATCATATACTTACGCCACAATAGATTTCTTGAAGTGTGCGAAGAATCAGGCTTATTTGCTTGCCACTCTCAAAAGATGATTGTCTGCCATTGGCCCCAACCTCACATTGTTTCAACCCCTTCTGGAGATTTTGACATTGTTTCCTTCGAACATGGATAGAAACGCCCAATGTCCGCGCCAGTTGGGATTGGTTCATTCTGGTCCCATAGGTTTGACCCATCACCCAAAGACCTTTAATGTTCTCATGGTGGTTGATTGTAGTCCCCATTTTTGGGGATCTTCAAATTAAAAACAACAACCGCCGAGCAAACCATCTTTAAAAGATCATAGTCATTGTAGAGAAAGTTGCTGACATTTGGTTGAAACACGTTGAACGTCAATGAAACAAAATTCAAACCACCTACAAGCTGTATGTAGCCCCTGTATACACATTGATGAACATTCCCTTCAAATCCCATCGTTTGATGACTGAAACTTTAAATCAGGGGATAGGATGAATATATCGGTGATAAACCCAAGCTTATTTATTATGTGCCCCTCCTGTTATCAAACATGGCTAGCTGGGAAATCCCCAAACGAAATGAAGGTTTATAGGTGAGAAAATCATCGAACTCAATGGTGGATTTTCCAGCCAGTCTTTGTCCCATTGCGATGGTCGCAAAGGTTGAGACCATCAAATCCACCTTGGAAGAAAACATATTAAATTACAGGATATGATCAGAACTGTCTGTTAAAATGTTTCTCCGGTATATACTCACCCATCTCCGCAGTTGAAACCACCAAAAAATAAACGTATCTAATGAGTATACAATGTATAGAATTATATACATATCCGCGTCCCGTGTTCCCAACCCCCCATGGGATGGGTCCCCAAATGATGCCCCGGAATCGCCGATCTGCTTCTTTTCATCCACATACATACATACATACATACATACATAACATCGCATCGCATCGCATCGCATCGCATCGCATCGCATCGCATCGCATCGCATCGCATCGCATCACATCACATCACATCACATCACATCACATCACATCACATTGCATACATACACAGACAGACAGACAGACAAACAGACATACAGACTGACAAACATAGAGACAGATACTGTATACAGACAGTACATACACACATACATACCTATCTACCTACATACATGCATACAAACATACCTACATACACGACATACATACAGCTAACCATAAGAACCAAGGGGGGAATCCTAAGAACCCATCCCCATTGGGGGGGCTGCCCGACGCATATATTTAATTAAACACATACTGTCATATATATATATACATATATATATTATATATACATATATCCTGGAATGAAATGGCTATACCCCCAGTTCTATTGGTTCCTCTACTCACACAGACCCTCACAACCATTGATCCCAAAGGGAAACTAGCCTTCTAACCCCAAACTCCCCATGAAATACAGGCACGATAACCCCAAACTATGTACTATATATAACTATATATATATACCGAATATATAAATATGTTTGTATATATATATAAATGCATAATATATATATACATTACATTATATTACATTACAGTACATTACATTACATTAAATGATATATTATATAATATCATATAATATTATATTATGTTATATTATATGAAATATTATATACTCTAAAATATATTAAATGTTATATTATATATTATATACTATATATTAATATATATATATGATATATACTAGACGACGGATGGCCCGAGAGCGTAGAGGAGCAGAGTCTTCTGTTGTTAGTATGTAGACACTAAATTACAAGACAATATATTAAAGATGTATTATAAGCAGACGAGAAGAGTAGTATCAAAACAATATATTACAAGTACAAGACAATAGTTTGCATCGTATCTTTCGTAAAGTTACAGACAGACGCTTTTACACACAAAACCTTTTACAAACAGACGCATTTATTATACACACAGACGCTTTTACACACAGAGCTTTTACACACAGACGCTTTTACACACAGACGCTTTTACACACAGAGACTTTTACACACAGACACTTTTACACACAGACACTTTTACACACAGACGCTTTTACACACAGACGCATTTACACACAGACACTTTTACACACAAACACTTTTACACACAAACACTTTTACACACAAGCACAAACTTTTACACACAAACACTTTTACACACAACACTTTTACACACAAACGCTTTTAACACAAACACTTTTACACACAGACGCTTTTATTATACACACAGACGCTTTTACACACAGAGCTTTTACACACAGACGCTTTTACACACAGACGCTTTTACACACAGAGACTTTTACACACAAACACTTTTACACACAAACACTTTTACACACAAACATTTTTACACACAAACACTTTTACACACAGACGCTTTTACACACAGAGACTTTTACACGCAGACGCTTTTACACACAGATGCTTTCACACAGACTCTTTTACACACAGACGCTTTTACACACAAACGCTTTTACACACAAACACTTTTACACACAGACGCTTTTACACACAGACGCTTTTACACACAGAGCTTTTACACACAGACGCTTTTACACACAAACACTTTTACACACAAGCACTTTTACACAGAAACACTTTTACACACAGACGCTTTGACACACAGACGCTTTTACACACAGACGCTTTTACACAGAAGCTTTTACACACAGAAGCTTTTACACACAGACGCTTTTTCACACAGACTCTTTTACACACAGACGCTTTTACACACAGACTCTTTTACACACAGACGCGTTTACACACAGACGCTGTTACACACAGAAGCTTTTACACACAGAAGCTTTTACACACAGACGCTTTTTCACACAGACTCTTTTACACACAGACGCTTTTACACACAGACTCTTTTACACACAGAAGCTTTGACGATCGAACCTCATTTCGTGCGAAAAAGTTGCGCGGACAAGTTGGAAATCGCAATTTTTTCTCAGTTTTTGACGATCGAACCTCATTTCGTGCGAAAGGGTTGCGCGGACAAGTTGGAAATCGCAATTTTTCCTCAGTTTTTGACGATCGAACCTCATTTCGTGCGAAAGGCTGGCGATTGCACCTTGGAAATCGCAATTTTTCCTCAGTTTTTGACGATCGAGCCTCATTTCGTGCGAAAGGGTTGCGCCGGACCACTTGAAATCGCAATTTTTCCTCAGTTTTTGACGATCGAACCTCATTTCGTGCGAAAGGTTTCGCGGGACGACTTGGAAATCGCCATTTTACCTCAGTTTTTGACGATCGAACCTCATTTCGTGCGAAAGGGTTGCGCGGACAAGTTGGAAATCGCAATTTTTCCTCAGTTTTTGACGATCGAACCTCATTTCGTGCGAAAGGCTGGCGATTGCACCTTGGAAATCGCAATTTTTCCTCAGTTTTTGACGATCGAGCCTCATTTCGTGCGAAAGGGTTGCGCCGGACCACTTGAAATCGCAATTTTTCCTCAGTTTTTGACGATCGAGCCTCATTTCGTGCGAAAGGGTTGCGCCGGACCACTTGAAATCGCAATTTTTCCTCAGTTTTTGACGATCGAACCTCATTTCGTGCGAAAGGTTTCGCGGGACGACTTGGAAATCGCCATTTTACCTCAGTTTTTGACGATCGAACCTCATTTCGTGCGAAAGGGTTGCGCGGACAAGTTGGAAATCGCAATTTTGCCTCAGTTTTTGACGATCGAACCTCATTTCGTGCGAAAGGGTTGCGCGGACAAGTTGGAAATCGCAATTTTTCCTCAGTTTTTGACGATCGAACCTCATTTCGTGCGAAAGGGTTGCCCGGGGCCACTTGCAACTCGTAATTTTTCCTCAGTTTTTGACGATCGAACCTCATTTCGTGCGAAAGGGTTGCGTTTCGTGGCGTCTCGTTGCCACTGCCCCTGCTCCCGCCTTCAAAAGAGAAATAGAAAAGAAGGAGAGGGCAAGAAGGCAAGAGGGCAAGAGGGCAAGAGGGCAAGAGGACAAGAGGGCAAGAAGGCAAGAGGACAAGAGGGCAAGAAGGCAAGAGGGCAAGAGGGCAAGAGGGCAAGAGGTGTGAGAAGATGTGAGAAGATGTGAGAGAAGATGTGAGAGAAGATGAAAGAAGATGTGAGAAGATGTGAGAAGATGTGAGAAGATGTGAGAAGATGTGAGAAGATGTGAAGGTGAGAAGATGTGAAGATGAGAAGATGAGAAGATGTGAAGGTGAGAAGGTGACAAGATGTGAAGGTGAGAAGATGTGAAGATGAGAAGATGTGAAGATGAGAAGATGTGAGAAGATGAGAAGATGTGAGAAGATGTGAAGATGAGAAGATGTGAAGATGAGAAGATGTGATGATGAGATGTGAAGATGAGAAGATGTTTTACAGGCCCCCACTTTTGGAAGAACCCTGCGCTCAGACGCTCTCGGGAAAAATTTATATGTGATATATCATATATTAAAGGTGATATATCATATATTATATATTTGTTTATTATTATTATTATATATATATATTATATCAGGAAATTATATTATATATTATTAATTATATATTATATACAATATATCAAATATTATATATTGAATATTAAATATTAAATATTATATATACAGTATTATTTTTTATATCTTATACATATATATATATATATCATATATTCTATATCATATATTATATATTATACACCCCAATTGTGGCGTTGTTTGCAGCCCATCCACATTGGAACCCAAACAGGGACCCCAGACACAGCGGCAGTTGGCACGCAGCTCACCACAGGACAAAGGTTTCAGGTCGCCCCCCCTTAGTCTCACCTGCCAAGGAAATGCGGATCCGACACCCTGATTTGTTTTGGAAATTCCAGGCAGAATCTTAGAACGTTGGGAACCCACCAGGAAATGATCTGGTTGGTGGTGCGATAACCATCTTGAAACATATGAAAGTCAGTTGGGGTTACTATTCCCAATATATGGAACAATAAAAAATGTTCCAAACCACCAACCACATGAAATCTCATGCCACTTTCCAGGAATCAAATTTACACTCAAAGAGTCTGTTTTTGGCGTTTCCATGTCGGATTTCAGACAAATAGCGAAACGAACGATTACTAACAAAAGGGAAGATTTCCCGTATAAATCAGTTCCAAATACGGGAGTAAATGCTAGGGATTCAATCCAAATGTGATAATGCGGCTCAAGCTTCACTATGGTTTAATCATGCTTAATATGTTTAATAGCACAGGCAAGTATGGGCCTGTGTAAGTGGCACCCTAGGCTTAGATCATACCTCTGTGACCTGCGATCGGAGTTTGAGGCATCGATCAGCCAGTTGGGACAGATGTTTTTTACACATGGACTCCCCAATCTATAAATGGAGTTCACATCTAATTCTTGGGGAATCCATAGGACCAGCCTCAAGCAATCCACCAGGTCGGATTCGAAGGGAGGCTGGTGCCTGATCAGTGAATGAACATTCTTACAGACCATAACAAGGTGGCGCCTCATTAAGCTGGTGTCCAACTCCAATTACAGGGGCGTATGGTACATATAGCATCATATAACTACGTATATATATATATAGTTAATAGAGGTTTCACAGCAACAAACATAGCTGGGGGGCACCACCTTGCACTTCTGTGTCAGTTGGGAAATTTGGGAGCTCAAACTCATGGAAGCCCTGAAGTAAAGTTGATTCCTTTTTTGAAAGCTCATTTGAAGGTGGGAACTCCCCACCAAAATCTGCGGGGCCCGTGTTTTTACAGTCTTTAGCCGTTTCAGACCTGCCGCCACTCTTCACTACGCACAACCAGCAGTCACTGCCTGTCTCTTTGGACCCTTGCTGGTGCCGCCTGCACCCTGGGCGATCGGTGCTGGCATTTCCTATAGGTAACTACTGATGGTTGCTGTATAACCATTGAAATCGTCATTCTCAACTTTAAAATGATACCGGTTGGTATGTTCAACCTATCTGCAATAAAATAGTGAATCGTTTCGGGTACAGTAACGAACAAGAATTCAGAGTTCTGATAATTGCTGTACTGTCCGTGCTTGAATAGAAATTCATAATCTAGCATTGTTCTTCAAATAGATTTTATTGCGATGGTAGTTCATAGCTGTCATCATCATGAGAATAAATAAGCCAGATTCTTTGCTTTGCGATTTTGATTGATGCTTGCAGGTCACCTTAAACATAGGAATTTCATGATCCCTTATTGTGTTTAATTATGGGATCAATATCTACATAGTCTCATCCATTGAATAGTAGTACTGTATTGGTTCAATCACTATACATTTACATGGTCATAGCTTGGGGATGGTTTATTATCGCTTTACCAACATTTAACAATTTAATATCTTCTTGGTGGCCACATATCCTCAGGCCGCGATCCCGACGCGACAAGCGCGGCCTTCAGGCCCAAAGCAGCTTCCAGGACGCAGCGCGTCGCCTTGCGCAGCGCCCGCCAGGCGGAACGCTCCTGGGAGCGGCGCGCAGGCGCAGGGATTGGTGAGGGGTTCTACATCTCTAACACACTACCATTTACTTATAAGTATACAGTATACATACAAAAACAAAAGGATTGATTAGTTGATTGATTGATTGATTGATTGGTTGATTGATTGATTTATTGGTTGATTGATTGATTGATAGATTGATAGATAGATTGATCGATAGATTGATAGATTGATAGATATATTGATACGGGGATAGATAGACAGGTAGTAGATTGATTGATAGATTGATAGATAGATTGGTAGATTGATGATGTGGAATGATGTAGCTATACTATGCAGTAAGTAACAATATCTTTGTTACGTAAATTTTACACTACAGTATACTACAGTACTACTGACTGAAATACCACAATCCTGAAATTAAGGTCATTTTGGGATAGTTGCCCTTACCAACTATGAGTCCCTCAATCAACACAGACCCTGGGAATCGCCCATCCCAAAGTTCAACATGATCGTCTTTCAACCCCTGTAACTGGCAGGGTCTTTATTCGTTGGGGTGAGAGCGTGTCTAAATGATGACAATTAAATATGACATTTATGTAGATTTTAAAAACATATATATATATAATATTACAATCTAATATAATATATTATAATATGATAGGATATGACATGATTTGGTATAATATAGTATAAACATTATAATATAATGTAGTATAACATCGTATAGCATAATATAATATAATAGAGTATAAATAATATAATATATTTTTGTATATATATATACGTATATATATAATTATATATATATATGTGGATAGATGGATTGAGGAAAGGAATAATAGATCCATTGAGAAGAATGCATGGATGGACCTTGATACAAATGCGGAAAAATCAGGGCTTTACCTATGTGAAACATTCGAACGTCAATCTGAAAAAGGAACAAGTCATGAAGGATGGGTCAAGTCGTGGGAATCTCTTTAAACAAAAAGAAAGAAAATGATTGAGGTTGAAGATGATCCAGGCACAAGTGAATCTGTCGTCCCCACCGATTTTTCTACCCATGCCCAATACTCTCATCTCGTGAAATCTACGCATCCAATGGCCATGATGATTCGTCAAAGCAGGGAAAGAAACACCTAGCCATGGTGGGTACATGGAACATAGAGCCAGAGTGGCGAAGTTGTCAACAAGGGAAGTTTGAAACCGACCACTAACTGGAGAACAACAAACCGAGAGTACGGCAATGCAGGAATGAAAATAGTTGTGACTCGGCAGTATGGTACCCGCTGCATTGCACATCCGATCCTTCTATGGATTTCCCCATGAAACTTTCTATTTCTACACTTGCTAGCCCTTCATCTACACAAAATGTATCATAATGTATCTATCTAAAACGCTAGAAAAGACTCTAAAACGTTGTTTGCAGTGCTCTAAAAGCTACAGCTTCTTCGGGGGGTCCTGCATTCTGATTGCATTCTCAGCACCAACTTGTGGCCCTGCCTGATGCTGGGGATTTCGCATGAAGGGATACAGCAAAGCGTTCGCCGGCTGAAACGAGAGGGGTGCCTTGGCAGGCGCTGGGAATTTGGGGATCGTGAAGCAACTGGTAGTTTAACCATCAAACATTGGGGGGTTAAACATGCTTTGAACCACTGAATATGATCGTTTAATGGGGATATCATGTGGATATCACGGAGATACTTGGCTAACAAATTGTGGATACAAAACATGGGATGTAATAGGGGGAACTTAGCCAACCATTTGATGGTCTATATTATATATCTATTCAAGATACTATCCCCCCCAACCAACGTAGATCCTGAAGAAATACGGTTTAAGAGATAGGTACTGTAGTCTCCCAAATGCTAGCTGTGATTGAAATACCAGATTGAGATGGCCACTCTCTGAAGCATCTAGAATCTAGAATAATTAGTGATCAACCAACACCACGCCAAATAGTTGTCATCTTGAAACATCACCACTAGAATCACTAGAACCACCTGCGATCATTCTGATCCTGGCTGGTTCAGAACCGGATCCCAAGTCCAGGATTATAATAATCCCAAATAAACGAGGCAGATTCATAACCCCTGCTATTTTAATCATAAACCAACACAGCCTCATCTCCTTCCTCACAGCATGCATCATGACGGCCCTAGAGGAAAAACGCTGGTTGAATTGGTTCTTAGTGAACATTCGGGAGGGATTACAACTTTGCTGCTTCGTGGATTCTAAACAGTTTCAATCCCTTCCGGACATATCGAACACAGTCATCAATATTAAGGTAGGATGGAACATTTTCAATGTTTGACTTGACACATATGTATACATATTGGGTCTCAGATGAAAATAGGGCATCCCAACTTGTTTCTCATCATTTTCCCCATTGAAGTGGCCATCTTAGGGAAAATCCCACAGTCAGTCACACCCAAATATGATAGTGTTGGTGATATAAACTATTCTTCCATCTTCTCCCATATTATCCACTACTATCCCATATTATCCAATTTATTGATAGTTAACCCTCCATTATCCCCATAAGAGGGTTTCCATAAATGGTGGTACCCCAAAATTGATGGTTTATTTCATGGAAAATCCCAATCTAAAATGGATGATTTTAGGGGTACCCCCATGACTTAGGACACCTCCATATGATAGGGATATATATCCCATAATAAACACATTATCCATATGTTAACCATAGTTAATAGTGGGTTAGCTATGGTTAACTATGGTTAACTATGGTTAACATATGGATTATCCACATATTATCCATATGTTCACCGTAGTTAACCCTCCATTCTCCCCATATCTTGGGAGTATAAAAATGCTTCCCTTCTGCCACCCAGCAAAAAAAAACTATCTGCGCTCCCACATTCACACCTGCGACAGCTTCTCATCCAGAGGCAGGTCCACTAAACCTACAGACCTGCAAAGGACAAACAACTATGTACAGCAATATATAATAATAGTAATAATATAAATACATATACTTGGAGTTCAGAGAATGTGTGCGAGGAACTGACTGCTTCTCATTCAAACGCCTTTGTTGAGTAATTACACATATGATGGTGCACAACATGGCACGTCCAACTTGGGACTCTACCACATGCGGCCATTGCCAGATTCTGGAGTCTGAGGCCAAAAAAGCTCAACGATCTCACACATGCAACATTATAAAAGGCCATTGAAAGTCCAAAAGATTCAGCAACATATTGAGATATTGACAACGACTTTTTCAACAAACCCCACGCATTCTCCATTTCATACTCCATTTCATGCTCCATTTCATGAATTTGAAGAATGATGTGCTTTGTGACACCACTCGAGATGCTTCAACCGGCTCGGCCTCTCCGTCAAAAAATCCGTGAGCCCCTCCATCCTGATGGATGATTTCTGATGGGCCCATGGGGCCCAAAAAAACAGTGATTCAAATTCCATACCACTGCTGATGATCTTCATCCCAAACTCATAAGCCAAAAAAACAAGACATGTGAGGTTCTTACATTCACTAAGTTCAAGACAATTGCAGGGGAGAGTAGGCTAGAATTCCAGGACCTTCAGGGATTTTTTGTCACTGCATCCAGCTTGCCGTCCAGGCTTTAGCAGTTTCCAACCCTTAAAAACCCAAGATGGGTCAACTTTGCTGCATCAAAAAGGTCTTGGAATTAATTTCTGATACTTAAATTATGTTAAAACATGTTAAATCACCCTTTTAAATTAATTTACCCATATTAAATCCCCATGTTCCAAAGTTTTCCCGCCGGGTGTCGCAGAGTCCGTGAAGATGGCTTGCTCATGCTGGCAGGCCTGCGGAGTTGTTTTGTAGCCATTATTGTTTGATCGTTTTATGGCCTGTTGTAACTGGGGAACATGATGATAAGATATGGAATGCCATTGGGCCATGATAATCCATTGTATCAATGGGGTACCCAACTTTTCTCTCAAATTGAGGTTGATTCTTGTTGATTTTCCATGTCCATGTGTATGTTTGACAAAAAATGCCCGCATGGTTTCACCTGAAGATCCCACAGCTTACCAGGTGAAGGTATAAACTCTTGAGTCAAATGAACAACTTATATCTGGCTGAAAAAAAAACTCAAAACTAGCATTTGGGGTCACTTGTGGGTGCCCAACTAAGTAGCAACAGTGCTAGTTATAGTACGTTGTTGTAATTAGCCAAAAGTCACTCCAGAATATTATCTCTTATAAAATATTAACAAATAAAACTTAATATGTGGGTAAAACAACAACAAAATATAACAAACCACCCATGTGGGAATGGTTTATAACACCTATTCATGGTGACATCGGGGATGGTTTGTTATTGTTTTACCCACATCATTCCATGTGATGATGATGATGATGACGCCTCACAACACACGCTGGCCATATTCCTGACCACCAGGAGCGGCTCAATGTCCACCTGTCAATGCACAAGTTGTTGCGGAGCCACACAACTTGTCATTGTTGGTATCCACATAGATATATTGTTTTACAAACATAGATATAGACATGAGATAGATATATTTTGTGGATGTAGGTAGATGTTATATATATATGTATATATATATATACAGTAAATATATAGTATGCATATAGATAGTATAGATATCATGTATCCAACCATCTATTTGGTTGAGGCCAGCCATTTAGACCCATACGCATGGCATACCCGATGATCACTTGTTTGGGTGACTCCTCTTAAAGAATCATCCAGGATTCAGGATTGATTAGTCCAGGGTTGTGTACCTAGAGCCTCAGCTTACCAGTGAAAATGCGCGGATGAATAAATCCTGTGAATATTAAATATGACCCTCACTGTTTACAATGGGTACTTGAGAAATACAACGCGTCTTAACTATTCAATGTATATCCTTGATGGGTTTGAAGTTTGGGGGTCCCTACTTCCAGGATCATCCCACTCAGTGGTTCATAGGCCTAGTGATCGTAAGTCCCCGATGGCGTGTAACTAAGGTTACTAACCAGTTACTAAGTGGGATGATCCTCCAATTACTCCTGCACTGCTGTTTTGGAGCGGCGCCCAGGCTCAGGACTCGAAAGCATGTCTCCCCTTACATGCCACAGAACCAACACAGGGCTTCGTTTTGAACATGGGGGATACCCTCAAATGGCCAGATGTGAATGTTGACATGGATGATAATAAACCCTCAAACTCTGGAGGGTTCAGTTGTCCCAGCAATTTAAGGTACCAAGTACCAAACCCATATTAGTTTGGAGAACTGGCGAACAGAATAGACAACATAAACCAACAACAACAGGGATTTCACCACTCTCTGTCACAGTGGTCGCCTTGGTAAAGAGCTGCAAGCCCTTGTTGACATCCGCCAAGCTGATGGAGTTGGAGGTGGTCACCTTACATTTTTCCACAAAAACTAGGCAGACTTGGGGGTTGTACAACTCATTTCTGTGCAAAGCCATATCTATGTACAATATATATATAATGTATACAATGCATACAATGCATACATATATATATATGTCTTATAAGTGTAAATACGTAAATATATGTTTTTCTTCTCCTGGGAAACTTGTGACAGCATTATTGGTGGTGTATGCATAGAACAGGACCTTGCCGGATCCATCCAAAAATGGTGCCATCTTCATTTATTGGGGCCCCGTGGCTTTTTTATCCTGTATATCAAAATTGGGGACGTGTTGTATATAAATATATTCACTGTTGAGCAAAACAATGTACATTTATATTTCATATGCGTAGCCATATGTAGACTGTGTACAATAGTACATAATAATATATCTATATATTACATATACATTGCAGTACATCATATCATATACAATGTATTTGTATATCTAATCACTATTATATATATATATTATCATTGATGGTAATTGTCCGAATCAAAACCACAGAGCGGGGCGCTTTTTCGACTAGGGCCACAGACCAACACAGAGCCGTCCACGGACAAAGTTTGAGCGATGGACAACAACACATC